ACTGCACAGCATATTGGTAAAATATGTATATTATTTTCATAAGTATATTATCATTAAAATACCTCATACATTTATTTTTTTAACAATAAGAATATTAAATAATAAAATCTTTATATTTTCATTTTTTTAGCTGTACTAATTTATTTGATATCAATTTAAACTAAATTTTCGTTTATTACATTAAAAACATTCATTATAATTTTATTAAATATACATACTATTTATTTAGTATTTAAAAGTAGTTCTTCTCACAGGTGATGAACAGGTGTGATTGTACCATGGTATAAATAAAAATAATTTGCGATATCTGTTCAAAAAATTAAATACTGTACTAACGCAAAAAATAACATACACAAGTTTTTATTTTTTCACTTCATAACGTTTATAGTAATTGTATAATTTTAATTTATTTAATCAATATTTATTGAGTTAACTTATGTTGAAGTAATTTTATATTTTTACTTCGTGAATTAATAATAAAATATATTACACATATAAATTATTCTCAAGTAGTAAAATAATTATTTTTCACTGCGTATAGTACAAAATCTTATATTAAAATCGAAACGTTGAAGGAATATAGTATAGAATGAAAATAGAATACATCTTTTGTACGCATGTGCAATAACGATTCAAAATTGGTTTTCGACATCATAACCATATAAAATTGAAAATTTATATTTTTACTCCTATATATAATTACTTATTAAAGACATTAAATTTAACGAAATACGTTTTCGGATGATAAATTATTTCTTTGTAACAAATGCTTTTATTTTTTCCAAGCTTATTAGAAAATCAAAATCTATGATAAAAACCTATTTAAATACAAATATTCATTATATTATTATATTATTTATTATTCATTATATTTATTATTATTTATTATTCACTATATTATTTAAACAATAAATATACTAATAAATATATCCATAAAATATATTTTCAATTTCATTTAATCAAACAAGAAAAATAAATGAAATATAATTTTTTTTTAATTTAAATTGATTAAAATTACAATCAACAATAAGTTTGCAATTAAGCGGAACTCCGTTCTTAAAAGTTTTTTTAAAAATTCAATGAGTATAAGCAAATATAAAAGGATCGATAAACCGATTTCCAACTGAACGAGCAATTTGTTTCTTTAAAAGATCTATCACTGCTATAGATTATATAAATATTATTTAATATTAAAAGTAAAAAAAACATCTAGCATCACCTTTTATTTACTTATTCTTTTTTTTAATATTAGATTCGAATGATTTAAAATATCAAGTGTATATTCGTATCTTTGAATAAACAAAATTCGAATACTCAGTGAATGGTTAATTATGAGTATTATGCGAGTAATCTTATAGAAGTTAGACGCGTTTTAATATTAAACATAACTGTACCAATGAAAAATTACAAATAACAATTGGACAAATTTTCATACAGTTATATATTTTAAATCAAAACAGATATTGTAAAATAGAAAACTGAAAAAGGCGATTATTTATATAATTTATATATTTATTTATATAATTTGGCAAGTAAAAAGTTCGAATTCGGTAAGCTATATTTAGAGGAAATTTAAAAATCATATTTACATCTGATATAAATAACTGAATTCGATAATAATATAAAAAACTTAATTGTGTACTTGAGATAATAGAAGCTAGATAAAATATAATTAGTACATTTCCGATACTAATTTTTATAAATGGCTAAAATTTTAAAGATTACGAAACTATTAAATGAGTTATACGTAGAATGAAAAAATAACTTATTATAATTGCATTTGATACAAACTGGATATTTCGAAATCTTAACAAATATTTACAAAATTTATTAATACTTTATTAATACATTATGCATTTTTTCTCGATAATCTATAAAATCCATTATAATGGCGTGATTGATTATAATATGTACGTAGATGAACCGAAGAGACATCTGAGAAAAAAAGGAAATTTACTTTGGCAACCAATTAATATATTATTTTACTAATAAATTAAATATAAATAATCTGAAATAACAATTTTATATTTTCAGAGCGAATGTTTATATTGTATGAAGGAATTAAGTCATAATGCAAAAATTGTACATCCATAAATTGAGGAGCAATATCGTCTTAGAAATGAGTAGGTAAAAAAACAATAAAAATAAACTAAAACCGTATGAAATTATTTTGACAAAATGCTACCGAAAATCTGGACAAAATAGACTATGTATTACATGGAAAAATAATAGAGATAATACTTGATATTTAATAATAACGCGCTTTATAAAAAAAATATATTGTATCTAGTATTTTGTAAGTTAGAAAATCAGATAGTTTAAATCAGATTAAAAAAGGGTTATTTAAATTTCTTTGAGTTTTTTTTATAAGACTGTTAGTTTAATTAGGAAATAAGAATGATTATCAATGTTTTCTCCAAAATAAATAATAAATTATTTACAGATATTCTAAATATGCTTTCTTAATAAAAGTAGCGAGTCATTTTATTTTAAACTAAAACTTAAATTATCACGTATTAACAGCTAAGTACATAGATATCATTGAATGATATCTTTAACGAGACAACAATTCTAAGACAAAGCGGAAATTTATAAAAACTTTTTTTAATGCCATGAAAGGAATCAGTGTACAAATAACATAAAGCCAATGAGCCACGAAAGCACTTTTTAATATTTTACCATTATGGTTATTCATTACAATTCCTTTTATAACTCGAAAATCGTAACAATAAATTTAAATATCAACCATATTTGATGGAAAACATTGCAAACATGGCATAGTATTTATAAAAAATATGCCACCAATAACCTGAGTATTGTTAAATTTATTATTTAATTTGTATAAAAAATTAAATAACAAAAAGCAAAGAAAAATATAAATATAAAATAATATTATTATACTCTTTAAATACTTTATGAAGAGTAAAACTATTACAATTATAATATCAATACGAAATAAGGGAATGAAGTCAGGATATTATTTTCTAGAATCACTATATGAAATTCCAACAAAATATGTTAAAAATAAAGAAAACGTAAACAAAATGTTCAAAACTTTAATATATATTTAATGTAGGATGAGATTTGTAATAAAAGGTTTGAAAGAGAAGTCATAGTTTGAATAAAATTTAATGTGTCTATTTCAAAAGCTTCTCTAATAATATCGACGTTACTAATAAATATACTCTTGGTATATAATATTGTTTTCAATATGTTTACACAATTTTACAAGTGCATAAGGTAGTCTTTTCGAATAGATAAATATATTTTCAAGCTCAATCTTTACTAATCAAATTTTTTAGCATCTTGTTTTCCTAATCTTTTTGCACCTACTTCATGATACACAGTATAAATTATCTATATTCAGCATAAGCAACGAAGAAAAACAAAATAGAGATTATTTATTTTAATAGTTTATTTTGCAATATGTATAGGTAGGATGACATATACAAATATAGAATATGTTTGTTTTGACAACAAAAGCTTATAGTGTAATAAGAGTTTGAATTGGGATCAAGTAAATGTTCAAAAGAAATTCTGAATTATAGGGCAGATGCAAAAGTTATGTTTTAAAATTTAATATAAAATTCAATTAATCAAAATTGAGTGTATGAAAATTATGAAATATTCAAATATCTATCAAATGGCTTTGTTTTTAGGCAATATTACGATTTCAATTATATATATATATATATATATATATATATATATATATATGTGTGTGTGTGTGTGCGTTTTATACAATACTGAGTTTTTACGTTATATTTTAAGTCATTATTTAATAATCTCACGACAATAACATATTGACATATTTCATAAATAGCATAAAAACAATATTTTGCGAGCCTATAGTCAAGTTATAATCGATTAATATGTAAATTTTTTTATTCTAATTTACGTTGACAAAAACTAATATGTTTATGGTATTATTGCTAAGATTTAAACTTGACACTGACTTTGTTTATATTATAGCTACCATACTAAAATGTTCATTATAATATTTAATATTACATAATAGTAAAACTTTACAAAATATAGACTGAACAAATAGGAATTGTAAATATTAAAGTAATCTTTATAAAATATTATTTTGTGATGCCAAGTATACAATTGTATAATGTGGATCAAAATATTACTATAATGTAAAATAAATACAGTAATTCAACGAGAAGAAAATAATATATATAAAAGAAGTCATGCATTTATTCATAGAACCATATATAGATAATATTTAAATATAACGAATAAATCAAATAATAAATATGTTTGTTATATGAAACAATTTTATCATTATATTAATTAACGAAAATTTATTTAAATTTATTAATATAATTTATTTCAAATAAAATATATTTTGTAATAAATTTGGATTAGTATTTAGAGAATAGTTTCAAATTTGTATAATATTAATAAATATTTTATAGTACACTTCTTTTAAAATACCTTTCAAGACATCAATGACAGAACTACAAACTTTTCAAACTTTAACTATAATTTCTAACAAAATTTTATATCATCACATCTCATTAATATTTCTGTATATATAAAAATATGTTTTTTTTTATTATTTCTTTATTATAATTTCATCAATTAAATTTAATTTTCAACATTAACAATTAATAGAAAATTTGTATATTTAATTATTATTTGATATAAAATATTAAATTTAAATGTTTTAATTATAAGTTAATAATAAAAATATACATTTTTATAAATTCAATACTTGTTAATTTATTGTTTGCTTTATACATAACTTTATTGTATATTGTTTAAAAGTGTTCAATATAATATTATTTATTATAGTAATAATCATAGTAAATATATTACTATTATAGAAATAAATAAGCTATTAAAAACCGTATATTAAAAATAATAAAAAATATTAAGGAATTTTAATTAAGAGAATTGATAGATTGCTATGTAAACACCATTATTGATATCAGTGCTTTCTAACCAATAAATACCTAAGAATTTGATATAAAAATTAAACATACGATATATACTTCGTCAAAATTATGGATTTAATACATTATTCTATTTTAGTTGCTAGCAACGTCGATTACACCAATTAGTCATATATTCCTGATAACTAACAGTTATTTCTTCACTTTGATATCGTGTCAGTTTAATACTATGTCGTATATCCGGTGTTATTAGTCCTTTATAACCACCTTTGCGTAATAAAGAATCAATTGTTTGTATTTGGTCCCAACCTTGAACGAACAAATCTTTTATTATTGAAATAAATTGACAAAATTTTATGTTTAAATTAAATGGTACTTTGAACAATAGTACTTAAGTTCAAAAATTTAATTCATATTTGCATAAGAACACATATAAATAATAATGGAATCCAATTAAATAAACTTGTATTTATTATATTTTTATGAAAATTAATAATATTTATAGTTCAAATGCAATAGTAAATATCGATTGATAGTTGAATTCTCGATAGAAACATGATTATATATAGATTTGTATTAAATATTAATTGTCAAAATTGTTATTGTCTTATCTCAACTTATTAATTTTTTGTATATTTATAAACGAAATATACCTTGCATACAGTTTAGAATAAAACATATGTGTTTTTATATTTTTATTTATCCTTTTGTATACTAAAAAACCAGATCTTTATTTCTATTTTTTAAAAAATTTATATCTATTTTTAATTTTTTAATTTTGTTATTATAATGTGTAAGAAAAACTTTTATATCAAACTTCTCTGCAATTATTAATTTCCAAATATAATTATAAGTCATTTTAGCACTTACTTTACATTTTATAATATTTATGTTTATTTGGTAATGTCTATGTACATTATTTCTAAACTTCTGTTACTTTAAAGATTCGTTAAGTTTAACGACTTATGGCAGTTTAATTTTAAGTTTTGTATTATTAAATTAGAATATAAACCTGATATTTACTTACATTTTTTATTCTACCTAATTTTTTCAATAATTTTGACACTTGTTTTTAAGATTTCTGGTCTGACTGCTCATTTATAATATATATATATCTATATAGATCGTTATAAACAATTCCGATTTTTTACTTAATTAAGTTAATTTTATGTTATTAGTAATAAAAATTTAAATATATACTACAATTGATGCAAGTTTTAATTGGTTAAAAGGAGTCACAAATTTCTTCATACAATGTTGTTCGAAACTGTCTGATTTTCTGGCTGGAACTGCTAGTATTCAACAGCTTCATACTAATTTGCCGCCTACCCTAGCGGATACTTAAGAAGGAGTTAAGTGGAAGGGCTGGTTTAGTACAGTGTGCACTTCTTCGTTAAATATTGTCTATTATAGTTTATTTAAGTTACATTATTTATGTGTTAGATTTATACGATGGAAAGGTGTATCCTATGTTCAATCATGAGGATGCAGTTGCTTGGAACTGCTCCTGTGGTTAATAGTTGATCTACACAAGATGCTCCTTGATGATGGCACTGATGTTGTTGATATTGTAAGGATCAGCAACTGATTATGCACATTCTTAGATTATGGATTTGTATGTTAATAATAGCGTCTTGGTAATCTTGTAAGGATTAGCAGTGATTAATTTTTAGAATTTGTGTACTTATAGTAATACAGTAGCCTCGAACTGATACTATGGTAATTTATTTCGTCATCCCGAATGCTCCATGTGGATGATAATTTATATTACCATCCCGAAAGCTCAGTGTGGATAGATATGATTTCTTGATATGAAAGAGATAGTGTCAAACCCTTATCTTGCAGCACAGGATAAATGACTCGTCTACCTTCTGTAGTGGTGTGTAGCTTGCTGGCCGACTAGTCTTCATTGGTGAATAGCATGACTGACTGCATCAATGACTGATCTATTACTATGCTTCGTGGTGCGTTTGCCTTAAATATATATGCGGCAGCTTTGTTAGCTGATAAGAATGGAGGCGATTGTTATGCTAGAATCAATGGGTGCGATTGTGGTGCGAAAAATAATGGAGTTGTTTATGCACTTGTATAATTTCTAATGTACCGGCTTTTTCAAATCTCCAACGACCGTTGGAGGTTTTCTTACACATTATAACCGTTGAAGTTTTTCTTCGAAATGATAACCTTTGAGGTTTTCCCCGAAATCATAAACCTCGGGGGTTTTCTAGAAATGTTAACATTCGAGAGATCCTTGGAATCTTGAACAAATGTTTTAGGTGCAAATTATCGTCAGAATTTCGTCACAAATTTTCTATTGTAGAAAAAATACAAATTATATTTTAAAAAATTATTGTTTATAATTTCTTTTATTTTATATTAAATATAACAGTTTACTTGTTTTTAAATAAGAAATGACACATGAATTATTTATTTCATTGACATTTAAGATAATCTCGAAAGCAGATGTATTTATAATTAATGGATCTGATAATACAATTGCTACTAGCACGATCAAGTTAGTCAGTATTTTAACATACGTATATATATATATATATAAAATTCGTTTACTGTTTTGTAATTAATTCTGTATCATTATTATTTTAAACAATCAAAAATTTATAGTTGGGCTTTAGAAATTATGTACCTATAATAATTTTTCTGAATAAAAATCTGTTTTATTACACTTGATAAAGTATTTAACACTCAAATGCAACACTAAATATTATATAGGTTTAAATCTTACGGTACATTTTAATTTCAACCTTATCGCATTCATATACGTACGGTCACTAAATGTTTGATTTAATGCATTTACATACTATGGTATTACTCATAATTGCTATTCATAATTGATTAGTATTTTTATTATACTCATATATCATTGAAAAACCGAGTAATAAAGAGAATGATACAATATTATACGCTGTTTGTAAAACACAGGAAATACGAAATTAATAACAGTCTATAATGAAAAAAATTGCTTTGTAAAAGCAACTAATACACTTTTTGAGGCATTTATAAAAATTATGAAAAAATTCTATAGATAAAGACTAAATTACTATTCTTTGCTCAATTTCAACAGTTAATACCAGGCAGAGATTTATGTCATATGAGGATATTTAATAATAGTTTTAAATGTTAGTAGATTAGAAATTTCTAGATTTTTTAAAAATATTTTATGATACAATATTCTTTTTGTAATTTTTAAATTCAAACGTAAAATTTTTATTTTCCGTAATGTAATTATTTTTAATGCAGTGTATATTGCAATGACTTATAATATTTTGCATTATTTTGGTTGTGTTTGTAAATATTATGTAATGAATTTGTAAGAATAAATTCATAATGTGTTCGAGATTCCGAGAATCTATCGAATGTTATTATTTCTGGGAAAATCCCTAACTGTTATCATTTCTGAGAAAACCTCCAACGGTTGTTGGAAATCAGGAAAAAAACAAGTGCACAATCATCTCCATTGTTTCTTGCACTACAGTCGTATCCATTGTTTCTAGCGCTATAAACACCTCCATTATTGTCATCTAACAAAGCTGCCGCGAGATAGGCGTTAGTCACGCGAGAGCTATTCAGCCACGCGCTACTCTTCCATGAGCTACCCAATCAGAAACTACATACTCTCTCTTAGTGGAGACGCCATGAAAAAGAACAGGCTCTCTCGGTGAAACCATTACAGAAGGAACACACATCATTCCCCAATAAGTATCAGTTAACGGGCAGTCAAGGGTGTAGACTTAGTCAGGGATGTTAATTGCATTACAAGACTATATTCGACTACAAGAAGCATCGTATGGACATACTCCTTATCACGAAGGCATACTAGTGGTCTTGCTTGATGGTAACTATTCATTATAGGATCATGTCAAGGCAACTGTATCGCTGTTAGTAAGAATAGCATGAACCATACTCTCTCAATTACAACATTTAGAACAATTAGCATTTCACACACCACACTCATTGGAAAGGCATGTGTACAATTCTCTGCTAATCCTAACAACATTAGCAAAGGCCATGTTTTTACATTTCAAGGGTATACGCCTTACCAAGGGGTATGCTCGATCCATTGCTGATCGTTATAACATCAGCAACAACATCGTCACCATCAACAAGGAGCAACTGTATCGTTGTGATTGAACATAGTTCACACTCTCATATGAGCAGTGAATTTAGCTCATTAATAATGTAATTGTTAATAAACCATATTTTCATGAATTGTGCACACATTGTGTATCTCTATAATCCTTCTTAACTCCTTACTTATGCATCCGCTAGGGCGGGGGGCAAATTATTATAGAGCTATCGAAATAATAGAAGTTTGAGTAAGGAAATCAAATTACGAATAATATGTATGTACTATTGTAATGACTTATAGTATACAAGTAATTAAATTTTCAAAATATACTCTACCTTGTTCAATTGCAACATCGGGTAAATAAGTAGCGGTTCTTTTATTACCCTTTTCATTATGAAATTCTATTCTAATTCCGTGCATTCCTACAGTCCAATCCAAATAATTATCACCTTCTTCAAAATGCCGTAAAATAGAAACACTAACATGCAGTCTGGAAAATTCATCTTTAGTAATTGGATTAAATCGTGAATCTTTAAAAGCACTGAAAAATATAAATATTCATATGTTCATGAAAATATTCTATTTTAGAATATTATTATTTAATATTTTTATGTAATAAAATAGTACAATATAAAACCTAATATACATTTATTAGATTTATTACACAAAAACTTTGTTACTATTAAAAAATTACAATTTTAACATAATTGGGGTTGAAAAAGCATGTATTTTATTTTTAATTGTGTTACGATTGGTAATTCAAATTTTATATATAGTTATTACATTTTCGTTTAAAATCATAACCTGTGTCTAAAAATAATTATAATTATAGTTTGTTTCCATAAGTTGAAAATTTTGCTTTTATTTACAAAATTATAAGATAAATGTTGATTTTATATACATAATTGTGCAGCCTTTGACGGTTTTAATAATAACACTATTAATACAACTACATTTAAGATGTATAATAATATATGATATGAATAAGATATATGATACCAGATGAAATATTTAAAATTAACACGATTACAGTAAGTTAATATTTCTTTTGTTCGCATGCTTTAAGTTGTTATACAAGTATTTTCATTTTGTATACATTGATTTATTTATCTCGCTGGTAGCTTGTTATTCCGATTAATTAAATAAAAATTAGAATGATTTTATACCTTATATTTACCTCTTTTCATGGACCTTTTATAATTGAACAATAATTTTGATAATTTTTAAAGTACTTCCCTTTTAAATATTATATATTTCTTTTAAAAGTACACTATATACTATGGTATTATTTTGTATCAAGCATTCTATAACTAATTGTATACACCGGCACTAAGAGATCTTTAACATCTGTAAATGTATATATTATGCATGCATTTTTTTCTAATTCTTAAAAAATTTTTTATTTTCATATTTTTAATCTATTAAATTGCATAAAAAGGAAGAAAAATGAAATATGGGGATTTCATATATACATCAGAGTATAAATAAATCGTTGATTTTCTTATTAATACTACTATAAATCTAAGAAATTTAAAAAATGCTGGAATCATTAAGTTACAACTAGTACACATAAGATTATATAAATCTTAATCTTTTGAAGTGTAAAAAATTATGAATTTTAATAACTAACCTAGTAGTGGCATATTCTCTTAACCCGTTGTGTAAATGCATAGCATTAAATGTTCCAATACACCCTCGAAGCCTCATATCTTTTCCAATTTTCCATGTAACAAACAGGGGACTGAAATATTAAAAAATTTTTTAAAAATTAGTTTCTTAACAGAAAAAAATTGATTTATTATAAAAATATTAAAAATTTATAACTAGTTGTACATGCAATATGTATACATAGATTCTCGGTACGTACACTATTGTCTTCTTTACTTCTTTATAATATTTTTAATTATGTTTTTTTAATAAAGTACTTAAATATCTTTAATACTATGTAACAATATTATTCGTTGAATTGGCTTTCCAATATTTATGGCTTATATTTAGTATGTATATTTCGAAGTCTCTAAAATGTCGCGAAAACAATACAATTACTGTAATTTTAGATTTGTTTGAGATTCAATTAAATGTGATGATTATACAATTTGATTCCAATTTATAAATAAAATGTATTTAATTATAGGATGTATGTTTACATCAATCCTAAATATATACAACAAAAATAATAAAAAAGTTCGTGGAGATATTATGAATGGAAGTCAAAATTAAAATAAAAGTGTTGCAAAAGCAATTATTAATCATTAGAATAAAGTAGATCATTTTATTAAATCACGTAAACTTAAATAATGTAAATATAAGCAGCATTAGGTTATGGAGTCTATCATAAAAATAAAAGATTTGAAAATCATATGGATTCAATACCAAAAATTCATGAACAGCAATAAATGATTAAATATAAACATTATAAATTATCAAAATAGGAAATAAGGGGTACTATTTCATTGAGCGAGTTTCTATTTTAAATATTTATTGATAAAATTTTACTCATACGTGCATATGAAATATCGTAACCGTTGCACTTAACAGAAAATAATTAATGTACCACATATATGTTGAATATTTTAAATCCACGTCGTAATTTACAGTTTAAAAATAGATTTATTTTATTATATAAAAAGTACTTTGTCCTTAAAACAAATATACTTATACATCCAGAAACGTGATGAAAATATCCAATCATTTAAGCATGAGCTACATTAATACATGTTAATATTATCGTTGTAGTTATGGTTACTACTTGAATTTTTGTGTCAAATATACATCAATATTTAATTTTTAACCCTATAATAGACCCATTATATCTTCAATTTTTCGTATTAACTTTTCCGCTTTATACAAACTACTGAATTTAAAAAACAAACGTCGAAAATCTTTTTATTAGTGATTAAATTAAATCGAGCATAATATATCTTCTTTTCTAAATAGTTTTATGATAGTTGCTATCCAACATAGTATACTATTACTTCTAATTTTTTTTAATTACATATTCTCATCGCTACAACTGTCAACATATACTGTTTTGAACATATTAATAAGCAAGCCGACTTCAATCTTATTTAGATACTATAGGAAAAACTATCGAGTTTTTTCCGTATTTGAACTGTGGGTATTTTACGAACTTTATTAAAACTTATGCGTATCTCTTGATATACAATATCATTCTTATTCTATTTTCTTACAGGTATATTAACTCGAGTATCTCAACAGTACTAGAATCAATGATTCTCATTTGTTTTTTCTAGCTCAGTATATAGATGTTTGACCTAATTGAAGATCTAATCAAACGATGATACAGTTCTGTCCAGTACTATATAAGCAAAATTTAATATATTTAGCAAATTTACTTATAATATATTCTCTTATATCATATTCTTATATTATATATTTTATTATACTCTTTCTTATATTGTCAATTCATCTTATTGTTATTCCATGTTTATTTGAATGAGAATAAGATCTAATGAATAGCGTTTGTTTTTCAAGCCATCATATCAAATTGATACTAGCCCATGTTTAACAAAATATTTATGAACAATAGGTTTAACCTCTCTCCGTCTACTATATAAAATATTTGTTAAATGAATCAACGTTTATAAAGATGTACTGAATACTTAAATTCATTTGATTTAATATACTGCAAGATTCTATTAAAACATTAAAATCATTTGTAGAATAATCTCAAAACTTACTTAACAATTTTAAAATGTTTCTTTCATACCACCTAAGATAAAATTATTAATACTCTGATTGAAACAGCTATGTATGTCCAACATGCTTTCTATACCTTTCATTTTATATTTTTCATTCTTTTTTAAATAAAGCTGACCATGCATTACTGGAATATTCACTGCATTTCCTCATTTCTAGACGGCTGGGTTTGTATATGGTTAATGATCAATGGTATATCTATTATACATTCATTTCTTATCTTTTTCAAGAATAGACAATAAAATCCTCAAAACTAAATTTGAGGATTTGAGGCAGCTTTATAGAAAGAGCAAGTAATAATTGATTCTACCTTCGTTATGAAATAAGAAGGTAGGATAAAATATAGAGCTGTCTTTATAAAGTTTGATATTTTTGTTGTTTATTATTAATTTTTTTTTTTTTACTTTTGTCTTGCTTTAAAATATATTTATATATTTTTTAAATCTTTTAATACTCCAAACTTTCATTATATCACAATTGTTTTATTAACATTATATAATATTATTATAATATCATATATCATAAGAATTATATCCCGTTTATATATTAAGAGTTCTATAACTCATATCCAAATTTAATAAAACACCAATATTTCTATTCATTTTCATTAATACATTTGTTATTTTATTTCAATATCTTTCTATATTTAATACACTTAAGTATTCGTTTCTTTCTGATTTTTTTGAAAAATTATATAATATTGATGGATTATTTAATTATTAATCAAACATGGAGATTTTATTTAACATCTAATTCTTGAAAAAGTAAATACCTACTGTGAAATCAGGGTAACAATGGTAATCTTCACTAGATTTTGCAAAATATCAGAAATGTTACCAATCAAAATTTATATTTTAAAATAATTTAAAAATATATTAAAGATGGATTTGTATATCGGTATAAAGATTAGACTGTTATTTATATTAGTATTGAATGCTAATTTATTTACTATTATTTTATAAAAATTCTTTTATACTTTTCATATATGTGTTTAAATATCTTTTTTCAGAAAGCTTGTCAATAATTACTTCCATTTTTACCTGTCGAAAAATTATAAAATGTATATTTTTAATTCTTTAAAATTAATATAGTCTTTTATAATTTAAATTATCAGCAGCTTCTTTAATTAAAGACATAATGTTAAATCATTCTAGTCGTAACAATGTAATACATACTACATAGCTTTTTATCGTCAAACAAAATTTCAGTAACAAGAATTATTTAAATTAAATAAAAACTACTTAGTATGTAAGTATTCATATAGTGTCAAAATCAAATGATTAGAAATACTGATCAATAACTAATCAATAATATAAAAGAAAAAGAAATGAATCAGGTCAATATTTTTGTTGCATTATCAAGGATTTTATCAATAAGTAATAGAATGAAAATAGGCATTGATATATTGATTGTAAAATTAATATTGATAAAAAATAAGGTAAAATGAATATGAAATATTTTATAAAACTGAAATTTTACAAAATGATAAAAAAATTTGATAAAAACTTAAATAAAAACAATACTTACGATAAAAATTTGTTAATTCGGTAAATCAATAAAATAAATAAATAAATAAAACATAATTACTTTGGATTTGAAAGGAACTGAATATAATGAGGATTTAAAAAGATGGGTATACAAGATACTATTTTATAGTGGAACAGTGAAAAAATATAATTCATGAAATATATACTATCTGTATATATACTATTAATAATATTGTTATCTGAATATTCTTACATCTTTTACATTATAGAATCAAATTTTCTTTTTAAAAATGAAAAGAAATTGTTATAAATTATAAAATAAAACTAAATAAATTAATAAAATAATTAATACCTAATGAGAATATTTTTGTATAAGATACATAATTAAGCAACTACGACTTTAATTTTATTAAAAAGGATACTTCATAATACTTTTATCAATTTTGATAAGTGGCTTAAATATATTAAATATATTAAACATAATTTTTTAGTTATTTCATTACAAATTCTTTGGTTAAAGTGTAAAAATATTGATATATTATAATCATATATTCATGAAAAACATCTGTGTATATTAAATTATATATGTTAAAAAGCATAAATTTTATAATTCGTTTATACAAACAATATTTGTATAAATTTATAAACTTATACCTTACACTGAATTATATATTTAGAATCATTTGTTATTTTTATATTACAACTATTTATCATAAATAATTTGTTCACATATAATCAACATTTGTTAAAATTGTGACTTGTAAAAAAGCTTATTAAATTATTCCTGTTTTAATACAAAATTAATTAAAATTTTTATAATTATAATACAAATTCTAAAAAGTAAAAAACAAAGAAGAAAGATTGTTTAACGTATATAACCAAGTTTTATTTAAGATCTATATTAATATTGCAACATACATTATTAATTTAAATATTAACATTTGGTTATATGATTAGAAATATTTCATAAAGATTAAATCTTAGTTATTAAATAATAAAAAAACTTTAATAAATATAAGGCCAAATTTATTTATGACATTTTACAATTTATTAACAAAACATTAGTTTTTATTAATAATCCCAGTATTAATATTATATATTATTATGAATAATTATTTCAAATGATTATTATTCAGAATCTAAATATAAATTATATTGATTACTATATAAGGATTATTTTCTTGATTCAATTAGAAAATATATACAAAACATTTTTATTTCTTTTTTACTCGTGTAAAATAATATTAATAATAATGATATTAATATTTTAATCTAAATTTTAAAAAATAAGTGTTAGAATTAACTTTATTTCAATATAACTAATTAAAAAAATTTAAATACATAGTTTTTAAACCATAGAGATAGATTACGAATAAACTTTTACATAAACTTGGAATTTTCAACCAATAAAATAATACAATACAAAGAAAATTCAAATTTGTATATTGTTTAATTATTTATCAACCTACATATATTTTAAAAATATTATGATTAACACCAATTTAGCATGAATACAACAATTAAATTACTTTAATTTTTTAATTTTCTTATTATTGAAATTATTACTACACTAGGTTACTCATTCCATTGTATTAAAACTTTCAACTTATTACAAAATTAAATATGTATTTAAAATAATTTTATATTAAAAATTAAATAGACCTACAACGGATCATTACTAAAATTAGGTGATTTCGGAGGCTCCAGTTGATTAAGTTGACAGAATAGCACATCAAAACAATAAAAACCCATTTCTGGTAAAACAATTGAATTATTTAATTTTTGTTTCTTTGTTCCACAACAACTGGTAGCCATTTTGTTTTACAAAATGAATATGATAAATCAATTACTTTAAAAAATAATTGCAGTAAATTGCTTTTAAAACTGATTGACAATGATATGTAGTAATGATATAAATATAATCTGAGAACAATATTACGATTTAGATATTTTATTCAGATGCGAATTATCTCCTGTAGAGGGCGAATAATAACTCTATCTTACGCGGATTAATTTAAATATATTATTTAATATCAATACATTTAGAATAAAATAAATATTATTTGTGTTGTTTTTATATTACTAAATCACAAATATTATACCTCAATATGCATCATTAAGTATAGACAATAGTATAAATTATTATATTCTGTATAATTTATAAACTTAATACTAACGTTAATATTTGACTTTTCATTAATGTTATGATATATTTGAAATTCTCTCGTATCACAACAGACAATATTTTATTATTTAAATTTTGATACAATATACTTGCTTTTTTATTACTCAAAATATCAATTTTATATAATTTCTTTCTTCACATTTATATAGGAAAAACTATAAGTAAAAGTAAAAAATTAGAAAAATTGAATAAAAAATAAAATTAATGAATTAACATAAATAATGATATCGAGATGAATAATTAATGTACATTAATTTTCTAAATACATTAAAGTTTTTTTTACAAAACTTTAAAAGTACTCAAATAAAACTTAAAAATGTTCTAAGATAAATTAATATAAATAAATAATAAATATTCTAATATAATAGAAAATTATTCATATATTTGATAAAAATCTCTAAAAGTTAAAAACATAAAGTGTAAGTTTATAAAAAAAGTTTTAGTTAAAAAATAGTGATTGCTGTAGAGAGTTGAAATCAGTGTTCCAAAAAAGCTTGAGTATTAAGTATCGGATTTTGATTTTCTAATTAACCTTATACTAGTATAAATTATTATTTAAATAATTTTTAGAATTTTTAAAATTATTATGTAGTTAAAAAATAAGGATTTATAAGAAATTTTAAAAATAAAAAATGACTATCAAAATAAAAATATAATTGAAACTAAATATTTTAAGCGAATTTTAACATAAAGAATATATGGATATAAAGATATATAAATATAAAAGATATAGATATTGAATACGCATTGCGGATATGTGCAAATATACATCCAATTGATTCATTTGTTTTTAAATAAATTCATCACATTAATTAAATTATACTTCCAAGAATTGAGTATTGTGTTATATATAATATATTATGTATAATAAGTATGTAAATATACTTTATTTTTTTTAAGCAAACATTTTATTGAAGTTATAATTTTTCAAAAATACTAGGTTTTTACAAAATCGTTTTTTATTTTGTAAAAAATTCTGTTCGATGTCTCTCTTTTTATGTGCAACTTAGAGTTCATAATAACTTAATATTTAGAAAGTTCTTGATAATTAGATTTATAATAATCCGGTATTCTAAATAATCAAATCATATAACTTATTATTTTAAACTTTGCACAGAAATACATTAGAAATAAGTGATAAATAATTCAATGACTTCTTCATGAATTAGTTTAATTATTTGAAATTTTATATCGCTTAAAAGAGATATTCCATAAAAATTCTATTTAGATTGGTTACATTTGTGATAAAACGTATTCAACATTTCCTTTTTAATTCTTAAAAATAATTTGTCTATTTTCTACTATAATACATTTTGGATCAACAATTCTACATATAATAATCTATAATATGTTATGAATTGATCCACCACTTTTCCAATATTTTTATTGTCAATTTAATTGTTATTTTTTTTACATAATAATTATTATATTTCAGATTATTAATAAATATTTTGTTAAATATTTAAAAATATAAAATAAATTTTATTCGTGATTGTATTAAATAATATTTTACGTGATAATAAACTGCTTACAGAAATTATGTCAGATGGTGCCCTATTAACATAATATGATTTGCCTTGACTGAAGTATTTAGTCTAACACAAATATTTTGTTGTAAATATGATATATGTGTAAGTTAATTTATCTCTAGATAAGCTAACAAAATATAAAAGTAATCATAAATCATTTAAAGCAATTTATTGAAAATGCTTTTGTATAGAAGTTTGAAAATAAAATGTGGATAGAAAGATAAATATAGATGAATGATGAGTATGATATTCAGAACATTATATTATAATATAGATATATATATAATTAACCTTTAATATATTAAATTCTAAAATTACGTTTAACGATGAAAATTGAAAGAGTTTCTATATTTGTTCCTACTGATTTAACATCTTTGTTAAAGTCTCTTTGTAAGACATCCTATCGTTATCCTTTTAATTTCTGCATTTTACTTTTTAATGAGTATCTTTCCTTGTATTTTTTTCAAAAGAATTTTTTGATAAATTTTTCATGCTTCTAAAAAATCGTAAAAAAAGAAAAATATATTTGTAAGGAACTAAATCCTTCAAAATTGTCAAAATATAATACATTTAATATTTTTAAATATTTGTTTAAAAATTTGCCTAATTTATCCTCGTATAATCTCATCCATAAAATTAAAGTTTTAAATAACTAATAGAAAATAATATTAAATATATATATTTCATATTATTTTTTATCCAGTTAAATCGTTTTATTAAATTCAATATGCTTTATTGTGTGAAACATAGATCTACAATGTATATATAATTTATTATTTGAATATAATTAAGATTAAAAAATTATATATTCATCTTTCTTAATGTATAATATTAAATATTTAACAATTATATAAATTTATTACTTTTAAAAATTCAAGCTAAAATATTACAAACTCTAACTAAAAATTATGCTGTTGTTCAGAGTGAATATTACTGCGGCTATTGATAAATACAATGTATTATATTTTTTTAGCAATGGGGTCTCGATAATGTAACATTTTATATTCTTATTCAGATATAATTTAGTTCTTTATTTTGAGCGATATTAATTCATAAAATTTATAAAGAAAACATATTAAGATCCAAAATCGGTTTATTTTATAAAATTTAAAAGATGAAATTATATGATTCTATTGCCAAACCAAAGAATGCTGAACAAGCTAATAGATAAATCCAGAGTAATAAATTTTGAATTTTCATTTAAAAATTATAACTTATATATAAGCAATTTATTTTTTCATATATTGGAAATGACATAATATACCTAATATGGAAATGACGTAATAAATCTAATACTGTAAGCTTTACCTTCTATTCGCAAGCATTTAATATAAATCAGGTCGTATTTTTCAATTTTTTTGTGTAGAAGGTAGAAATATAGTATAGAATAAAATATACATATTAATATAAATATAATCGTAAGAATAAGTTTAACGTAAATGTTTAAAATAAATAATTTCTTTTATTATTCGTACTCATATATTTGTAGCATGTTATTATTTACTAATTTTTGTGAATGTTTTTTGTTATTTTATTATTACTTCACAACAAATTATATGAATTCAAGATATATGTAAATCCTTTAACATCTATAAAATAACTATTTAAAATGAAAAATTGTGTTTAACTAGTTATTATCGACAAAATTCTTATAATTTCAGTAAAACTCGTATCCATAAGAGGTTTCATAAATATGATCAAAAGAATCTTGAAACCCAATTGAATGATTTAATGTGTAAATTTTGATAAATTGCGTATAATCATATTCATATTTTTGAAAATTGATACACGATTAATTAATATCCTTCATTATGAAAATGTTTAAATTATTTTTAAAACTCATTATTCAATATCATGCATGTTCCATATAATTAATCTAATATAATGAAAATTATAATTATCTTACATAATTCAATATACCTAAATATATTTTTATATAATTTACAATTTTTTATATAATGTACTTTTACATTAACTTAATGAACAAGTAAAGTTTCAAATATAAAACTTCTACAAATTTGGTAGTTAATTTATAATATATTTGAAAATATAAAAAAATTATTTAGTGGTTATAACAAAGAAATTAATGAATACAGATACAAATTTTTAGCTCATGTAATTTATTTATTGATATAATAACTAAAACACGTAAAATATTTCGTTTTAATATATTTTCTAATATTGTTAATATTTTCAAATATTTTTTTAATATTGTTTTTAGTTTAAATAATTCTACTTTTAGATATTGCATAGTAATTAGTAGAAAATTTTATAAATGTCATCCAATCATAGCAAGTGACAAATTCGACATGGTTTTTATTATTCCATATTATTTGAAAATATTTAAAATACGTGCACTTAATAATGTGGAAATACTTGGTTAATAAAAATTGATATTTCGAATTTAGATAGAAAAAATTGTTTAATCTTAAAACTTATTTTTAAGATATTCAGAAACACAAAGGAATAAATTTTGCATGAATTAAATGCGCAAACTAATGAAAATGTTTTGTTACATGTTTTTTAAGCAATGAACATTAAGTGTCACGTAGTTGAGTTTATCATACGTTTATACCTTACATTTATGGACTCGTTCATGGAAAACAAAAAAAAGAGTCGAAAGAAATATATGATTCTGCGTCCGACCATATGTTTGTATATACGTATACTTACACATGCTATCGTATTCGTGTAATATACATTATACATCATTTTACGTTTATTTATTTTTACACTTCATTACTACAAACATCCCTCAAGCCTATGTGAATGGAAGTATAAAAATTATTTTATGACTTGCAATTATTGTACATTTAACAAACTGTTTCGTAGTAGACATTTCATAACTAATGAATAATGAGTTAAATATTTATGTAGATTTACATTGAATACGTAATTTACAGTAATGGAAAAAAAAAAAAGGAAAGAAGATATGATTATATTATTTTCATCTAATATTTATCGTAGTGTCATAACAAATAACTACTTTATACCTAACCTAAAGCACTCATAAATAGTGCAGTTTTTAATCTAATCAACACAAAATTGAAAATATTTTAAGTTTAAAATAAAATAATTTTTATGTATTGTGACATGAAGAGAAATACATGCAACTTACATTATGGAAACAAAACTTAATATTAAAAGTTGTGGAACTATTAACGATGAATCTAATTGCTTAAATTATTCTAGTATGGTACATAGTAAAAAAGTTGTTAAACATGCTCTTCGACAACAAGTAAAACGACGCAGAAAAAATACAACAATTGCTTCAGGAAATTCTCGTTCGTTACCAAAAATTGTCCATGCTTTACCTTCCACAATATCAAGTGATCTATCTTTATCTGGAATTAGTAGTCAACAAAATAATATTGGTAATATTTATTATTAATTTATTAAAATACATATTTTACATTAATTAATTCCTTTAATATATTTACATTGACAAATTTGTTTCGGATCAATTACCAAATAATAAATTTATTTGTTCATTAAACCAAATATAAATTTGTTTATTAAGAAGTAATTAATTACTTTTATTAAAAATTAACTAATACTTTACATTTTAAGTATTTTGACAGAATTGTACTTTTGTTAATTTTAAATAAATATTTATAAAATTTTTTAAAATAATATTAATATAATAATGAATTAATATAAATTATTTATACATTTCTTAGATATTAAATTATTTGTTATTTAAAATATAAAAATTATTACTTAAATATTCATTTTTAAAATCTATTATAGTATATCTAATTGAATATAAAATTATTTAAAAAATAAAATTTAAATGAAAATTAAAGATGATAATAAAAAATTATCAGTTTATTTATAATAGTAATAGATTAGTAGTAGATTATACAATATTATTTACGGAATATTGAGTTATTACTTTTACTTTAAATTAATTATTTCAATTTATTTTATCTGTATTTTAATTCATTAGAATTTTAAATAGTTTTTGTATAAAAAGTCACTATAAATTAATTAGATCATTTATCGAGAGTAATTAAATTAATAAAATTTAAAGATTTAAAATAATAAATAAAATTTATTTTATATTTTGTTAAAAAATACCAATAAATTAGAGAGTATTTGTATTTTATTGTTTAATTATATTTTATAATAAATAAAAAGAAAAATGAAAATTTTAATGATTTATAATTGCTAATGCTCAAATCCTATTGTACTTTTTTAATTATCATTTTATGTTTTCTGCAATATTCGATTAATATTTATTTTGTATATTTGCGTACCAATACAGAAAGAGCTTATGAATATAGGGACAACAGCATAATATAATAAAAATAAAATTCTTTGTTTTTGTATTATGAAAAGTTGAAACTATACATTTAATTTTTTTTATATATATATTATTGATGTTCACAAAAGCATTAATATGTAAATAGCAAAGATGCAAACGTAAATAAAACCAATCAAATAAGGATATAAAATATAATAAAATAGTTTTACAAAAGAAATAATGTATGAGAATATTTTAATAATTAAAAAAAATATTAATATTAAAGACTAACATATAAAAATGTATTTTAAAAGTTATTTTAAAAAATTGAGATATACGATATATATAAAAAAGAAATAAGTTTGTAAAAATAAAAAAAAAATAAAAAAAAAATAAAAAATATAATAAAATCAGTAAATATTAATAAGATAAACTAAGGATTTATCAAATAAAAATTTTTTCCCTCTAATGAAATAATCTACAAAATTACCCTTAAAAATTAATGTTCAATTTTATATATAGAAAAAATGATGAACATAAAATAATGACTGTCAATACATTGCATGTAATGTAATTACTATTATTTGATATATTGCAAAAACATAAAATATTTTAACAACTTAATATTTATTATAAAGTAAAATTTTCAATGTCTTAAACAAGTAGAGCTCATATTGTAACAATGAAAGGTAATAAATTGAAAATATCATAAGTAATTAAAGGTGATTGGTAAATACTCAACATAATAAGAGGAAGGATTGACATTCTATTTTTAAACCATTATGAATATATTTGAAGTGTATATAAAAAATATTCAAAGTGAAAAATGTGAAAAAATAATAAGAAGACTATGTAACACATTACGTAATAAACAATACATTAAATTAAATAGTTTGGGTCATTTTTAATTTAACGAAAGTAGTTGATCTACTGTATGTGGGTTAGTGCCGTTTGAAAAGAATTTTAATGCTGTTTAACATGATAAAAAATATTAAATATAGCAGAATTTCTAGTAGCATATTTACACAATTTAATACATACAATTAGTCCATAATTGGAATTAACTTCAACAACTGAATGCATGTAATCAGATTTAATTTAAATGGAGAAACATTTAAAAAACATTAAATATATGGCTATGTATGAATCCAATACATATGTATTTACTCAAATAAAAGTAAAAAAAAAATTGTAAACAAACAGAATCATGGAAAAAGAGAAAGAATAATGAATAATTAAGATAAAAAAGCAAATTAATGAAAATTATTTTTTAACGTTCTTCATGATTATTTTGTAAAATAAAAGAAAAGAGACAAAAAATACTGCGTGATTTATACTATATTGAAAATACGAATAATAATTCATTGGATAATTTGTATAAATGTGCATCGTTTTAAAAATATTAACAAATTTTAATAAAATAGTTATTTTACTTTGAAGGTGTGAGTCGGAAACAACTAATCTCGATTAAACTATAAAAAAGTGATTATATCCAGGGTCATCCTTTTCTTTCTACTTTTTTTTGTGTTATTCATTTCTGAAAGTAATGTTATTTTATGAAAATAGTCTATGTTTTCAGTATGAAATTAGTACATGAATATATGTAATTTTATAATGCCACTTAAACTTATTGATATAAATGATAAATGAGTTGTAAATTTTAATATTCATATACATAATGCTTATCATATTCTTTCCTTTTAATTTTACTAAACATGAACATTAAGAAATACAGTAAATTGTATTCACTATTATTTATTGTAATTTGGTTAAAGACAGTATTTTAATTTGTTTGTGAGTTATGTGAGAAGTTTATTACAAACCGTTATCCAATTCAGAAATATATATTTATATTTAAAAAAATTTAAATCACAAGTTTTTTCTATCTAGATATTTATCGATTGAAGTATTAAAAATGCAATGTTTATAACTATTACAGTTATTGAAGAAACAGCTGTTACAATGAAAGAAGTATTAGCCAGTTTGCCAGGATTTAGTATTAAATCTAATCGTCGACGATCAACCAAACGATTATCTGTAGCTGCTCAATTAGAAGCTGGCTTGGTAGATTTAGAGTCGCCAGCCAGTATCTTAGCTAATACTAGTTTGAGAGCTCTTTTAAATAGACATACATTCCAAGGATTACCTCCATTATATCAGAGAAAATTGGCGCAACTGTTACCTGTGGTAGACAGGCAGGTAATGATAGTATTATTAATAACTATAAATTATTTATAATATATTTAATTAAATTTTAACTTCACTTATAAACAAAATTTCAATTTTATTAAATTTATTTTAATTTTCTTAATTTAATTTTTTAATGATATGTTCAAAAAATAGTTTTTTTATTCATTTCAGGATGCGGCTACTTCTGGATTAAATAATGAATTTTTTGCAAGAGCATGTCAAGAATGGCGAAAACGATTAGCCGAAGGTGAGTTTACACCAGAAAACCAACAACGACTAAAAATGGAAGCAGAAAAGGATAAAAGTAAATTAGATCCCTGGAAATTGAAACATTTTGAACCAATTTGGGGTGAAAAACGAGAAATACATAAGCTACGATCTGGAATACATTGTATAAATAAAGAACAAAGATACACTAAATCTGTTACACGATCGAATTTAAGGACTCAAACAGAGTCTAATTTACACTCAATTTTTACTGATAATCAATCCCCAAATTTGTCTTTGGAAGAAAAAACAAATCAAAGTGAATTAACTATTACAAATAATCTTTCCAGTGAGTCACGTTCAGTTTCAATAAATGATCAAAGAGTTATACCAGATTTTAACGTTTCTGTAAGAATTTTAGAAGAAGATGAAGATGATGACGATAACGAGGAAGATGATGAGTACGAAGATGATGATGATGTTGATGAAGAAGATGACGATGAGGAGGAGGATGATGATGATGATGATGATGATGATGATGACGATGACGACGACGATGATGAGGATGACGATGAAGATGACGAAGAAGATGAAGATGATGATGATGAAGTGGAAACTCAAGTTTCTCTTACTTATTTAGATGAAAGAGCTCAACATTGTAGAGCAATAATTGTAGCGAGTGCAAATAACGATCAATTATATAAAGATCAGCGTACTTCCACGGAAATAGCCTTGAATGAAAAATCAAAATATTCGAAAGGGATGATATTAGACTTTATAAATGATGGTAAATATCTCGAAATTGATATGAAAGTAAAGGAAGATCCCGAATTACAGAAACAAAATATTGAAAAATCTCTAAGTTCTTCTGTTAAAGATTTTAAAAATTTTCCCAATAATAATTTTAATAGTAAATCAAGTGACTGTTCTATGCTAGGAAATCAAGATCAACTCTTTAAATTATCTGAAAGCAATTTATCTGAATCGAGTATTCAAATATATGAAGATTCTATATCTAAGTTAAAATTTACTGTGAAAGATGAGTCATTTGGAGCAGATATTGCAATTAACGAAAATGCAACAAATAAAGAGGTATTTCATATTTTGATAAATATTACAAAATAAATACAATGCATATAATAAATGTTTTAATTATAATTATTAAAAATATGAATAATTTTATTATATAAAAATTAAAGTGTCAAACATTCATTTGTTCGCACTAATTTTTTTACAGTAATATTATTACAATACTATAATTTTGATACTAATATTCCACTTAAAATTCCAATAAAGTTTACTAGTATAATTATGATATACATTTTTTTCAGTTCAATTTTATTCTTGAAGCATATGAATTTATTAATAAAATTAAATAATTATTAATTGTTTCTTTCATTATTTCTTTATTATTATTTTTCGTAATTTTAAAATTTATAACTTGAGATTATTGAAGTAACTAATAATCTAAGAAGAGTATTTATTGCATTGTGTATCTCTAAAAATGATCTTTCCTTTGAAATTTCAATTTAAAAATTTAATATTAAAATAGTTTACGAACAAACTATGATAAGCTTCATTTTTACTTGTAGTGAAAATTAAAATATTAATTTTTTTCATCTATACTGGATCTGTGTTTTCAATGTAAGTTTAATAATATCTTAGATTTATAATTAAAAGTATAAATAGACATTATAATACGTATATATTTATAGTTAATAGTTTATTAGTCTGTTAAATTTGAACATCAAATCTCCCAAATACTTTTTTTTGTATTTTTGTTTCCAAAATATTTTGAATTTTCATGGTTTAAAAAAAAACAATTTTTTTTTTAATCAGATTGTGCTAATATATAGTCCACATTTTAAGTATATTTGAAGAGTTTACAAAGGTACAATTACAGGATTGTTTTTCGCTTCATTTTTCTACCTATTTAGTATCTTGTTTAAGAATATCAAACAATGATAGAAATTCGAAGAAAATATCATTAGATCAGTGTTGCTCACTTTTTATTGATAATTTCAACGCTACCTTATTTGGGTCAGTTTAAATGTTTTTAACGTAATACGTAAAAGTTATTTCTTTCTAAAATGGCATTTTTTCTAATTCAGCTGAAACTAGGCTTTATGGGGGGAGCGTTTTGGAGGAAAATAGATATTGAAGAATATGAAGAAATAGTTTGAGTTTCACAAAATAGAACACCAAATTAATCATAAGCGATCTATAAAAAAATGTAAGTTATTGACATAATTTCAATTTTTCAAACTTCATAATTTCATTAAAAAATTAAATCCAAAATATATAAATGATATTCATTAATTTAAAAATTTTGTTTATTTAAAAAGAATGTTTATTGGAAAACATATTGGTTAATTAAATATTTATTACTATCAATAGCAAAAAAAGTAGTCGAGTAAAATATATCGATTTTTTTACTGCATTATACTATGAAATTTAAAAAAAAAAATCACAAGAATTACAAATATTCGAAAATTAATTAAAAAATAATAGTGTAAATATATTTTCCAATTCATATTTTTAATACTATTATAACGTATTCTTTAGTCGTCTTCAATGAAAATAATGACAATTTAAATATGATAGTGTGAACCGTAAAATATAAGAACTAATTAAACATCAAATAGTGACCCCACTTTCTCATTAATATTCTCAATTATATATTAATGTTGTTATAATAACTATATATATTACACGGAAACAAAGTACATTTTACACAATAATTCTAGAACGACAATGAAAATAAAGATTCAGATATATCAATAACATGTATCTTACCACTGACCGAAGGTTATAAATTTCAAATATATTTGTTTCAAGGCTACATTTTTCAAATCAAAATATACATAATTTTTTCTTAATTAGAAATTTAAAAATATTTTAAATATTTTAAAATGATTTTTAATATAATTACTTGCTATCTTTGCAGAGGGTATGTTTAAATATCCTTTACATGTTACTTTTAAGGAGATGATTACACAATAATTTTTATGGAGTGATAAGCAACATTTTTTAAATATTTTAGGATAATTATTTTATTAATATAGAATATCTCCTTTTACAAACAAAAATTAATTTTTTAATTATTGTATACAGTTACGTTAAACTAACATTCCCCAAAATATGTCTATTCAAAGCAATTATTTAATTTAAACATATTTGAATAAAAATAATGTTAGAATTATTATAAATATTAAACGCTTTTAATATTTCATATTAAAAAATGTTTTCGTTATTTAACACGAACAATAATAAATAATCCTCATTATATCAAAAGAAATTTATTATTTTTAGAAATCATTCAAAGATTCTAACTTATGCTGTGAGGATAATAATCGAATTAATTGTGAAGAAAGTAATAATGTAACAACAGGTATATCTGAAGTAATTGAGATTGATAATGAAACCTTACAACGGATTCATGAACTTGAGGTAATTGTATTTATTATATATATAATTTTATTTAGTCATATTAAAAAATAAAAACTATTAATTAATTATTTCATCATTAGTCACAATTTGTGTAATAATTCTAATATTTTGAATTACATAATAAAATCAATTTAATATATAAAATTAATAATATCCGATAATTAATTTAAACTATCTGTCCAGAAAAATTCTTCTAATAATTGCATTTTGCATGAAGCTGTGGAGGATTATGATTTACGAAAAACATATTTTAATTAATAAACGAAAAATAATACATATTCAAATTTACTTTATGTTCTAATATAGATATATTTAATAAATAAATATAGCTAGACATAACATTACCTAATATGCAATCATTTACGTCAAAGGCTTATCTATAAGACATTGGGAAGTCATATAAAAAAATAATATATACACAATTCATGTAGACATTTTAAATTTATTATAGTAACTGTCGATAAAAATAAAATTTTTATTTATATAAAATGAGCTATAAAATTAACGCCAATAAAATTATATAATTTATTTTTCTTTCTAAATTATTTTAGTTCTTCATTGTATTTTAATATAATTTAATATTTTAATATGACTTTATTTCTTAGGTTCGAGGGGAAATGCAAGAAGCTTACGAAGAAATTTCAGGGTGTCCAGAAGAAATAATATACCCAATCTTAGAAGATATGGAAATAAATTCTAATAATACCAAAGTTTCAAATACATCAAGCGTTTCCGAAACTACTGTAAATGAAGAAATAAATAATAGTGTTAATACAAGAACTCAGGAAGAAGCATTTCAAGAAGCTAATAATTATGTATGTTCTGAAATGTTGGATTGTAGTTGGACATCAAATACAAATGAAAATAATATTTCTAATGATCGAGTAAGTTAATTTTTAATAATTAATAGTAGTATAAATATGTATACATAAAAATAACTATCAAATTTATTTTAAAGTTATTTTAGTACGAATAACTTTCTATTTAATTTCTAATTTAATTTTTTCTTTCTCTATTATATTGATCTATTATCTATTCTCTATTGTATTGATTGTTGTAATATCAGCTTTTATCAAATTCATGATAAAGCTTACTGGTTTATTTTACAAATAACAAAAAACTTATAAATTTATTAGTAATATAGACAGAAAAAAATGTTTAGCATATCGTAAGATTCAGGTATTTTGTATCATTTAAATATATGTTCTATGAAGAAAAGTAATCAATTTTATAAAGTAAATGGAAAATATAATAATACTCAATATTTTAATTATTAATATTGCAGAACTTTATAATGTAGACAATAATAAATAATAATATTGTACGGTTAATATGATACATTTATAATCAATATTTACCGTATTAGTTAAAATATTGTATTTCCATCAATGATAGGAATATTTTACAATATTGATTTTTATAGTATATTGTAATTATACTAGTAATTTTCACATTTTCATTTGTGTAAATATCATTACATTTGCGGGTGAATATATCATTCTCTCAATAACTTCACACAGTTTTTAATTAAATATGATTTCCTTTCATATTAATAAAATCCGTTCTGATATAGGTGCTAACAATATTGATAGATTTATTCTGTATAGCCTAATAAAAATAAATAAAAATTAATGTAACTGAAATAATAACTAGAAAACCATAATGCTTAAAATAATACAACGTATAACAAAATAATTTTTAATAAATTGTTTTTTTATATAAATTCGTTAAATTCTTCCAGTAAAAAAGCAAGATACATTATACATTATTTTGATAAACAATGCAATAACATCGCGCAGATTATCAATTGACATTATTTATTAAATACCTTGCGATATACATACAAAAATTTTATTTATTTGATTGTATTTTGAAATAAATAAAAAAATTTACATTAATATAATTTATTTATATTTTATAAAAACATTGAATATTCAAATTTCAAGAATTATTAATATTTAAGTGAAAGTATAACTACTTTGGAATATAAATATATAATTATCTTGGAATATGGATTTATAGTTTATTTTAATGTTTACTTTATCCAATTTAGTTATAAATTTATAACCTTGACTTATATCAGATAAATATATTTATTTACTTTATATCTAATGAATTTTGGGCATCGAGACTGTAGAATGGAACAGTACGTTGTTTTGATATATTTCTTGTGCAATAAGAACATGTTTTTAGCGTTTGATTCAAGTAGTTGAATATTTATGCATAGAGCGTTGCTCATTTGAAAAAAAAAAACAAAAAAAAATAATTGGATTTTTTATTGCGTTGTGCTCTTAGAAATATGTATCTAAATCCAAGATTTACAATTGATTTATTAAAATAAAAAAAGGGTATAAAAATGATTATATGTATTTAATATATTTTTTGTTGAATTTATCAAAATTCAACTGTTTTTATTGTGATTTATAGATAATAAAATTTTACGAATAAAACAACTTGTGAATTACTATATAAGCTAACTTATTATAGGGAAGTACAACTTTTATTATTAATTTTTTTTTATATAAATAAAGATAGAATTAAATGAATTAAGCATATAAATTACAAAATGACAGCATATAAGATTTTACATAATTAGTATAAGTAGATATAAAATTATAAAAACATAAAAACTGCAATAAGTGTTAGATATTTCCTTTAAAATGAATTTCCAATCTATTTAACGAATGATGTAAGTATGCAGATTCGAATATATTTTAAAATTCATAACTTGTATATAAAATCACATTAAAAATAGGGTTTAATCCGAATCCATTACATTTTTAAATATATATCTTTTTTTTATAGATATATAGATATATACCTTACCTATCTCTATAATTATTCATGTAATTAATACTCATTGCAATATTCTACAATTATTGAATAATGTATGTATAATATTTTTGGTCTAAAATTATGCTAATTATTATTTTAATTAGTTTAGTTACATACTATTGTATGTGTAATAATAAATATATTTTTATTTTCAGGAAGAATTACAAGTTCCTTGGCCTTTAGTTGCAGCTGCATTAGATAATACTGTGCCAACTAATATTACTATTACAACATCAAATGATTGTAATAATTCACAATCATTCATTAATCAAAAAATTCCACTTCATCAAGATGAATTAGTTAATATTGAAGAAAATTCTGAATCTATTAGTTGCATTCAATTGCCTGTCACTCCTTTTAGATCAGAAGCTTTGCGTATTACAGCTCCAGTAACATCGTGTTTAATGAAAAATGCACATACGACTCAAAGTTCATCTATAATCACATTTCCACAATTACAATCAATTCGCTTTGTACAAACAAATTTTCAAACTACAATTGAACATAGTTCATCAGAAAATATTCCTAACACTGCATCACTGTGTACCCAAATTCAAACTTCCACACATGAACCGCAAAATAATTTAAGCAATGCCGTACAAAGTACGGCATTATGTAAAAATCAAAAAGATATTCATCACGAATTTGACGTAGAAAACGAATATCAAGATCAGCTGCAAAATGCTCTTTCACAAACTGCTATTCAACATCAAAATATGCAAACACAAAGTACTATAGTACTTCAACAACAAACATTGCTGCCATTACCATCTCGTCAAATCATAACAACATTACAACCTAATCAGCAATCTCATTACCCAATGATAATGAATGTACAGTCAAAAGGTAATAGAAACACAGGCATGCAGAATACACACCGTTCAGTTCGTAGTGGAAATAGAGATCAAAACAATGGACGGTCTCGAAATGTTACCAAAGAACCTCCAGGTGCAGTGAATTTAGAACGAAGTTATCAAATTTGCCAAGCTGTAAGTATTGTGTATAAAAATCCTAATTAAATTTATAGGAATAAATTGTAAATAAATTTATAGGAAATTTTTTTTAGGTAATGCAATATTGTTATTTCTCGAAATTCGTTTTTTCCAACCTCTTATATTACTTCAAGTTACTTGCATCATCTTTATTACAACAATATATCGTTTGAACATTTTATTACTTTTCTCTTTGATAATCAATTTTCATATTATTTCGAATTTGGTAGTTATGGCCGAATAAATATTTATAAGTATTACAAATAATAATTTCATATTCCATTAGTTGATTATTGAAAATAAACATAATTAAATTTTTTAAACTCCAAACTATATTTAACAATAAAAAACGAGTTATTAATAATTATATATACTGGAAATATTAATTAAATTAAGTAAAAACTGTAAAATTATGATTGATGGTTGTCATTAGTATAAAAGTAGTTTTTAAGCTATACATAACAATTTTATTATAATATTTTATATAAATATTATAACTAGTTAAACAGCTAAAATAAAGGTGCTAAACACAATTAATATACAATATATAAATAACAATGTATAAATGTATAAATGAATTAGATTAGCTATTAAATTCTAGTATAAATAAAAAATTATCTTTCAATTACATCAATTAATGGGAACTAATTATCAGTTATAAATATGGATATTTTTTACATTCGTTACTCAACAATACATCATATATGCGAATTACTTAATTTATGTTTTAACAAAGTATTTGATATTGTGTACAATAAAACTGCAAGTACCGTAACATTAATTGTTCCAACTAAACTATATTAATTTGGCGCGTTAAAAACAATCTACAATTTATCTCAATGTTTTAATTTAATTATATCATTATCGTAACTTAAATAATTTGTATTTCATAACTGAAAAGGTGATAGATTCTCTTATTTATTTCAAATAATTTTCTATATAAACCAAGTCTGTTTTTTTTTAATAATATGTTTAAATACCTTTAAATTAGCTTAAATGTAGATGAATAATTATATTTTATATTTAAATTATTTTAGAATTTTTTATTAATCTGCTAACATTTAATTTTTCAATTCAGTTCTTGAATGGAACTTACATTTTGTTTAATAAAATCGATCTTTAGAATGCTATCGTAATGCTAATTTAACTATTTTGATCTGTTTCTTCTTTAATAGCTAAATGTATTTCATTAAAAAACCTTTTTCTTGTTAATACTTCTTAATTAAAAGTATTATATCGTATTTTTGTAATATATTATTAAGAAAAATATTTCTAGTAAATAAAATTATTTATCAAATAAATTAATTTTAACCTTAATATTAATCATGATTATTTATGAATAATTATCTTTATTCGTGATTTATATTTTATAATGTTACTTTGGAAAAATAGCTTGTGTATTCCCATAATAATAATAAAATAATGTGTATACATTTTTAATCTTTTTTTATAATGAACGTTTATAAAACTAATTGATTCTAATCAATTTTTCATTTAGAGAATAAGGCTATCATAAGTTCTCTATCATTTTATATTCTACATTATCAAGTTTTTACTTAGAACAGTCTCTAAAATGTTAGTACAAATAATAGTAAATACGTGAGTTCAAAAATTATTTTATTCATATATATATAGGTTGGATTTATGCGATTTGAAATCAGTTATTTGGGTGATGTATGTGACCTTTTAAAACTTGCCAACCCATAAATAAAATATATATTTTATCTTTATATAAAATTTATTATTACAATATTCAGTCTTGTTTTGATAAAGGGTTAGTACTTTCTAATTTTAGAATTTTTGGAAAGTAAATCATTTGATTATTAATTGTTAAAACATTATTAGTTTAATTTATTGTTACTTCACGCTCGCGCATTTTCTTAACAGGTGTTTTCTCGTGTTTTACATTATTGTATAAAGTATAGTATATGATAACGTTCTTTACTATATTTTATTTTGCTTCCAGAGAATTCTCGGAGCCCCCAACAGTAAATAATAATAATTTAGATAATTTACGTTTTTTAGTAAATTTGATTATAATATTTGGTGATTTAAAACACAATAAATTAAAACACATGATTGGTTAACATTTATGAATATTTATTACGTTAAATAATTTCTTAAGGTATCTTGCACTTAATTCTGAAAATTGTATTTTAAAATAAGTAAATCATTTCTACTTATATTGATATACATGATTGTTATTATTGTCATTATTATACTTTTATAATTAAAGGTAATCGCCAGTTCACCAAATAGAGATCAACTGAAAGCTCATTTAAAACCACCACCAAGTCTATTAACAAAAAGTGAAAAATTAATAATAAATAATAAGTTTAGTACTCGTAACTCGAATCCGATTAAGGCTCATAAAAGTATAAATCAAGATCCTTCACTGATTTCTACTAAATCTCAAGGTGTTGTGCTGAAACATATTTTCGCAAATGCTCATCAAAATTGTTTAGAAGAGGTAAATATTTCATCAATTATTTTTGACATTAAAAACACTATTAATAATTTGACTTTATAGTAATCGAAAATATATATTAAACATAAACTTTTTATTATGAAGCAATCACATAAAAATAAGTTTTTTAAATATAATAATAGATAATTATTTATAAAAATTATCAAAGTATTTTATTTTTAGTTTAATTATACATTATAATTTTGTGTATAAATTATTAAAGTCCAACGAAACATCATGTATTATCTCGTACTAATAATATGAATAAATTTTAAAATCTTAATAACATATAAAAAATAAAAATTTAATATATTCAAACTGATATTAATGAAAAGAGCATTTAAATAACAACATACAGAATTGATAAAACCGAGAGATAAACATCAAATTAAATCTTAACTTTTTAGTCTTCATTCACATATATTCACAATATTTTATAAATGAATAAGGATTTAATAGAAGCAATACATATTTGAATGATTAAAAAGTATCCCGATAGAAACAAATAACTGAGTAATATCATGAGTATTCTTTTTTATGTCAATTATTTAAAAGTATTAGAAGTGTTTAGCCAATCACTTACAAACTTATTAAAGTAAAATTAAAATTAAATGAAATTCTATATTACAAGGCACTAACATCAAATTTTATTTCAACAAATTAAGGTAATATTTCTTCCATATGTGAGATATGTTTGACAAATGAAATCTTATGTAATAGGTGATAATATTGAAAACAATAAAACTTGAATAATTTCTGTAATTCAATAGTGGAAAAGTAAAATATGAAATAGTCAGTGAAAATCTTTGATCTGTCAGTTGTCATTTCTGAATGTTATGATATCTACGTATTTGCCATTTGCCAATCTATATCATAATATTATTTATTACTCCACACGGTTAATTATATACTCTCATATGTATAATTCTCACATACCTAATTTACCTCATGTGTAATATCAATGTTTGTTTTTAATTGTACATTTTATATAATAGGATTTTACAATTCGTAATATAAACTATGTAATAAAAATTTTATTTAAATATGTTATTCGTAATTTGACTAAAACTTTAATTAGTCACTGTAGATAGACACATTAAATGGAAAATTATCTCAAGATAACGTAGTAAAAAATGGTGATGCAATTTTTTTGACCACACAATACAAGTTGTATTTTGAGAATTATAATAACAATATATATTTAGATATTTCCACGTTTCTCGTGTAAAATTCTAGATATCTATATTTATCTAATAAAAATTCTTTTATAATTTTATAATTGTATAAAGTTTTATTATCATATTAATTTAATATTAGTTCCTTTATTACATGTTATAATCATTCCTTTTTTATTAAATTATTTTCATACAGATTTCAGAAAATCAAACCGAGTACGATAATCACGGTGAAATTGGACAATACATATTTGTAAAAAGAACAGGTAATGAAAATACTCCTCGGGCATCTTCCGCTCCACCAATGCCTCCACAAATTGCAGGAATGAGTATTGGAGTTCATATGGTACATGGTAGACCAGCAAGTGCTGGTGAAAACTCACATCAAGCTATTTCATTAAGAAATAAAGGAAATAATTTTCGTTCTGGTGGTGCTGAACCTAACACTCCTAGTATTATTATAGGAGGTAATCCTCCATTTCCATGTGAATGTAGTATAGGAGGAGCCATGGTAGTATGTCGTCAATGTGGTGCTTTTTGCCACGATGATTGTATTGGACCCCAATGTATTTGTGCTATTTGTCTGATTCGTTAAAATATTATATATATTTGTTTATTTAAGTATCTTGTAAATACGAGTTTGTAAATTTATTATATAGCTTTTTGACTCCTTTTATTTTCCATTTTTATTAAAAAAATATATGATAGGCTTAAAATTTATTGGAGTACATGTTAATTTATAATGTATTTTATTTTTTCTCCCATTCTTCGATATAATATAAAATTCAATATAGTATTAATATCTAATTTATTATCAACTTATGTAAATAAGTATAAAAATGAAAAAAAACTTCTTTTATAACTTTATCAAGTGGTTTAGTTTTTATTTATTAAACATAATATAGATGCATAATAGTAAATTACTTGTTATTTATATCATAAATATTGTAACGTATATTGTAAATTTTCACTTGTTTGCACTACTAGAGACTACAGTGTCATTTTTAAATAATAAAGAATAGCTAAATTTATTCAATCCGGTAACTTATAGTAAGAAAACTTGATTAAAGCTGAAATTCATTGCTGCTCGTATATGACATTTAGAAAACACCTGCTATATAATGTTTTATCATTTTATAATTTATGTTTTTAATTTATCGGAGATGCTTTAAATGATTTGTCTAGTCCGATGTGATCTTTACCTCACTAACATAGGTAGGAATCTAGAGATTAATTATATTCGTATATATATATATATGAATAGTAAAAAACTCTTTTTAAAACAATTTAAGAACTAAGATATGAATTGTAAGTTATATTTCAGATTTTTCTATGGAATATAGAATGAACAGAATTATAATACAAATGTAATTTTTCAATACGTATTGACTTAAAAAAAATTTCTATATCTAAATTTGATCATGTCACGAAATCGATTATTGATTCAAAAACATAAAATTATATAAAGCTTAAGTACAATCAATTTTGAGATTTTTCGGGTTAATTTGTATTGTATAAATTTTATTTTTTTAATCATGGGTTTTTTTCAATATCGATTTATAAATGTGTCGAAATATATGTGTTAAATTTACATTATACTCTGAAATTAAAAATTCAATGCAATATATTACAATCCAAATAGTATTTAATATCCGAGTTAATTTTTATTTATGTCAAGGTGTATTGATATGATTAAAAAAAATTGTAATACAATATGTTAATATTAAGTAGTATTGTTTACTATTATATTAAAATGTGAGTAATATTAATATTTTGATTACGGAAATAGTGAAATTTTGAAAAATCTGAAACTTAATTCAATATGCAATTCGTAATAATATAGTGTTAACTGATAAATTTGAATTGAATGTAAATGTACTTTACTAATGCATAATTAAATATACCATATTTTCTAAAACTTTAATGTATTTTTTTTATCTCAAATGAGAATAATAGTGAATATTTTTCAATTTCACGTAAAAATAAGTTACTTATTAAATATATGCTTTTGAGTAATATAACGATTCTTATTTAAATATAAATATCTTTGTACATTGATTGATAAGTCTCTTGATTTAAAATTCTTACAAATTTATCAAATATTTCAGGAAGAATATTGTGAAACGACTAACATTTTATCATATAATGACAATATGTATATATATATACTATATTTGTACAAGTATATATAATAATTATATGCAATATTTAATTGTCATATATATTATGCAAGATGTGGTTGTAAATGTAAAAACTATATAAATACAAGATAATTTACCTCAAATTATGCAGTAGTTCTTGCTTCTTTGTAAAGTCGTTGAAATATGCACATAAATTCTAATTCTGGTTTAAATAAGATAAAAGCCAGTTGAGAGTATATAATATGAACTGAATTATTGTAACAACGTGGAAAGGGATAACACCCTGAGCTGAGGAGAACTCAATATATATGAACATGTTATCCTATGCAAAAATTGTATCATATAATAATGTAATAGTGTTTATTTTAAAATGTACACTGATTTCAAGTGTGTAATACATCTCAGAAATTAATCAACATTGATAATTGCATAATATAATGCAAGTGAAAATGAATATAATCACTATTTTATTGTAAATTTTATTAATCTCTATGACAGTTCATTGTTACCTAGTGATTTTTTTTTTATAATTCCATCCACTTTCTATAGGACATACATATTTTGTAAATGATTTATGATTAGTAATTTCTTAAACATCTTAGAATTTTTTTAAATAGTACCATCAGAATAAAATACAAAATTTTGTATAAATAACATATAACTGTGATAATTATTATTTTTTATTATTATTTCTTTTGGAATACGTTTTTAAATGTTTTAATAGATACCTTCATATGATTTGTCATTAATTTCTAGTTTTGTTAAAACATTTTTTAAATTTATAAAATTTAAAAATAATAAAAATCCTTTTTTTAATATAATATTTGTTATTTTAATGTAGACTTTCTCAATTGTTTGATAATTTTATTTTTATTATAATGTACAGATCAACTGAATTTGTACGACTCGTTATTTATTGAGTATAACTCGACTTTGATTAGTTAACAGGTAAGATTAATTATAAAAAAACTTAGGCAATAACTTTATTCTTTAAAATGTGTTTATTTTCCATATTATTAGAATCACTGATTAATTTTATTGCTTTAAGAAGTTTTTTGTTATTTTTATTTGAAATAAATTCATTTATCTCTTGTACAATTTGTATAATTGTTTAGTTTTTCTATATAAATTATTAATCAAAGTATCATTAATTTTCTATTTTAAAATTCATTTGAATTAAGACATTGAAATATTATTTGTATTCGTAAAGTTAAAAAAGTAAATTAATAAAAAATAATTATTTTCTAATCAATTATAATATTTTAATTCATTTGTAATTCTTTACACAGAATGTTTCTGCAGACGTTTCCTAATTTTCATTGGACTAAAGTTAATCTGCTACATTTGATTACACAATTAATTTAATACTCACTATCGATAAGGAATGGCAACTTAAATAAAAATATTACGAATATCTTCTATTTTGATTTATATTCATTTAATAGTTTGCATTAATCAGAAAAAGTATTTTATTTTTTGAATAAGTATGTAAAAGTATTTACATATTCATAAAAAAATATATATTTGTCATATTTGCAATATATTATACATTACGGCCATTCTAATGAAATATTAGTAACATCTAATGCTATAATATCAATTTCAGTGTCAAGAAGATAACAAAGATTAGGTACCGTTCGACCAAAATCTCCATGCACAAATTCTTTAACATAAGTACCAGCCTGCGCTTTAAAATCCAAAATAATAAATGAATAATCATCTGATATATACTTTACATCTTTTTGATAGTTTTTTATTTCTTCAAAAAATGCAAATCGAGCCCGTAGTTCAAAAATGATTCGTTCTCTAGGAAAAAGCGCACGTCTATGTAGCACTCGAATAGGGGTATTTTGAATTATTTTTAAATTTTTTATATTTCTTAATTTTTTTAATAAACATGAACTATTAACCACTTTTTTGCAAATACATAATGCTCGATATGTTTTTGATTTGGAATATTCTCCTTCCTTTAATTGTTTTAAATCTTTTTTTGCTACAATTTTTAAATCACTCATCATTCGTATTTTTTTAGTATTTTCATTTATTTTTTGTTTTAAATATAGTAAATCGTCTTTATTTATTTTCGTTATCCTTGGGTCAATAAGCTCAATTACAAAAGGTCTGCCATGAAAGAGCATTCTAACGTCAACATCTTCTCTTCCCGATGATAGAAATTTTGTTGCTATAAATAAATATTACATAAGATATATTTTATATATAAATAATTTGAATATTTTTAAATATTTTTAATAAATTTTCTTACATTTAGATTTAGTGAAATCTAGAATACATTTACAAATTAAATCTTGCACAGAATTTTCCATTTTCCATTTACCATGTACAAACCACGGAGTTTGACAAAGTCTTCTAGAAAATTTTGTATAACGACCTGGAACAATGGTAATCGATACATAATTTTAACATAAAAAGAGTTTCGATGGAATTATATGAAATTTATTAGTACAATATAAGGTTGTATATGTAAATAATATTATGTATATATATAAAAAATTTATACAATTTTTGATGTTTTAATTTCAGATCTCTAATGCTTCGAAACATCATTATAAAGAAATATATTTAATTTATTTATGTAATCATTTTTTAATAGAAAACCACTTATTACTATAAAATTTAAATAGTTTTTATTTATTAGTATCTTAATGTATTGAATGAACATTTTAAATCATAATATTTGAATGTTTAGAATAAACATAACTAATATTGTGAAATTAAAATTATTAATGAATAAGTTAGTTTTTTTATATCAATATAAATTAAAGTAACATTTCTTGAATGTGAAACATAATTATTTAATGAATTATATAGAATTAAGAAGATAAAAACCAATTGTCCATAATTTTGGTAATAAATGTATGATGGTACTATTGTAAATCTTTGTATATTTAAAATATTAATAAATTAATTAATTTTTCATAAAATGATAAAAATTAACAGTAAAAAAGGGAAGATGTAGCATTGTGATATTTAATATAATATAAATATTTAAAATATAATAAAAATGTATATAAATAAAAACTTATCTATTGTAAAGAAATGTATTATAAATTTGACTTCAACCACTTTCCATCATACAATACATATAAAATTTTATTTCCAAAATTATAGTGGATATATACTTACCCCCAATAAAAATACTACTATGTTTACATACTAATTTATCAATATTTATAAAATGGCCAGGTTTTTTAGGAGGTATAGTGAAACATTGTTCAAATTGTTCATCTGTAATTGAGTTGGTAATAGTTTCAATATTTTTCTTCGTTATATATTTTTCTTCCTTTCTTTTCATAAAACTTTCTTTAGTTAATAATTTTGTATAATTATTTAATCTAAAATATTTTATCAAAATTTAATACAGACGCAAAACAGATAATTGTATTTATTTTAATTCTTACAATTCCTGACATTCTTCTTGGTCTTGTGGATATGATATAAAAACATCGACTGTAAGTGGCGATACAATGTTAGAAGATTCCATACTTTTCTTCGTTAAAAGTTGAATATAAAATGATAGGTACCATTTCCAAACATCTTTAATATTCTGTACTTTAGCTTTATTATAACAGACGTTTTTATTCAGTGCATCAATTTTTGATAAATAAATAAAGACTGCTCGTTCTCTAATTATAATGACAGTTGGAATGGTCAGTGTTAAGGAAATTGTATCACAATCATAATTTTCTGTATTTATTTCTTCCACGATCTAAAAGTAAAAAGATTAATATAAAATACTCCATTTTTCAATTAGTTATAAAAATAGAATTATACTTTATCAACAAATGTTGTTAATTTACTATTTTGTAATATACCCAGACAAATTATACATGGATCTGTATCTAGTGACGAGTCATACTCAGTGAAACATTTTATCTGAAAATTAAAAAAAAAATGTTATATGGTTTAATCATTGAATTTATCCATAAAAATGAATAAGAAATTTTGTTTGGTATTATTAAACAGCTTGATAGATCATTTAGTAGAATTTTATTTTGTATAATAAATGTATTCAAATATCAAATATTGTTGGTAATCTAAAATCTATAAACAGTTAAAAATTAAAATCGTCTTTTGATAGAGGTGTATACTATAATGATTCAACACATTTTTTAAGTATGCTTACTTTTCCTACTTAAAATATTTTTAAAAGTTTATCAATCTTTATACTTTTGATTGCATTTATCAAATAAAGAATGTTGATGTTTTTTATTCATTAAATTCAAACAACGAAATTTAAAATAATTAATTGTTTAAATTTTTTTAAAGAATAAACGTAATTTAATACTATATACTGTTAATTAAATTTACAAAAAATTATTTGGTATATATTGAAATTTTTAATATTTTACATAATTACATAATGTCATGATACATTATATAAATAAATATATATATATATATACATTTACGGATGTCATGTACGATTTCGAGGAAATAAAGCCTGTAATAGCCCTTAGTGATAATTATGAGTTTGATACAACAATTTTCATGTTAAAAGCTATTTAAAGTTATACAGTATATATAAAATCGAATTTCATTCTTGTAATTAATATATTCAAATTATATATTATTTTGTTCGTAGTATTGAATGAAATTTTCTTTTATACATAACTGTTTGAAATTAGTGATGTATTTTTGGCTCAAACTGCCAATGCTTCAATAGCTTAATTTGCCGCCCGCCCTAGCAGATGCCGGGAAAGAAAAAGGTGGAAGAGCTGTACAAAAGTCGTGAAAGTTGGTTAATTATACATTTATTGTATAATTTATCACACAATTACATATGGGTTTCTTGGAATCTTCTTGAGTCTAATGTGAAGATACGATTTCTTGAGATCATTAAGTTGATGTTGAATCGAAAGGTTTATAAAGATAAGCAATTACTGCACACTCCTTGTCAGAGAGTGTGAGATACTGTTAATGATAATGTCGTGCCAGTTTTGCCACCGGCGGGTAATAATTGAGTAGGTCGCGCGGATGGTGTACTAACAGTGATACAGTAGCCTTGATCTGATCCTAGGGTGAGTAGTTTACCATAAAGCACGCGGCAAGGCGAGTGCGTGCGTGGTGGTTAGGCCTTCTCCTGAATGAAGCGAAAGCATGAACTCAACAACTGAGTTCAACTCAACAACACAATCAACTGAGTACAGTGCTAGAATGTGCTTCTTGTTCACATAGTTTTTCGTCCAGTGCAGGCTGGTCTAGCCATGACTCGGGTGACTTTATCCAAGATGGTCCGGTTCACCACAGTGCACGTTCTTGAAGATGGGAGGCTGTTATGCCTCGTGGCGCACAGTCCGCTGGATTCGATTTGCCTGGGGCATATCTCCAGTGTGCACCTGGGGTGAGATCTTGAATGCTTGAAACTCTGTTTCTCACAAATACCTTCCATCTCGCTGGATGGGTTTTTATCGACGCGAGGGTCACTCTCGAGTTAGTCCACATGTGTGTTGCTTTTACATCCATTTTCAGTTTGGCTTGAACGTAGCGCATTAGTTTTGATAGAAGCAGTGCAGCAGTTAATTCCAATCGTGCTATGGTCATTGGTTTGAGTGGCGCAACTTTAGTCTTGGAGCAAACTAATGCGGTCTTGATGTTATCTGAATCATGGACGGAGACGTATATGACTGCGGACATGGTTAGTTGTGATGCGTTTGAAAAACCGTGTAGCTCTATGGAGGAAGTCATCTTCATGTTGAGCCATCGTGGTGTTGATATCTTTGTCAGGTCGATGAGATCCTTTCGAATTGTTAGCCATTGTAAGGAAAACTGCGATAGTAGTTTCTCGTCCCACTGTAGCTTGTGTAGCCACAGCTCTTGCATGAATACCTTAGCCATTATCACGACGGGTGCCGCAAAGCCCAATGGGTGAAATATCCGAGCCACTTCAGATAACACGAGACGTTTGGTTAGGTTGTTCACTGGAGCCGATGCCTTTCCTGTTGTGAATGTGAATTTATCTTCATGTGGAGACCATGTTAAGCCAAGTATTTTGGTATAGTAATCGTCGAATTGTATGGTGTTGTCATTCCGATCCGCATTGATTGCAGTAATTACATCTTGATGTGTCGCATTCCATTTTGCCAACGGGAGCGGCCCGACATACAGAGGTCTCGCAATTGGAGTGCCACTTCAACTAATTGTTCTGGAGTATCTGCACATGTCCGACATATCTTCCATGTATGATGGATGGCACGTCAAGAGGGTACTTGCTTTCTTCGACTTTTACTAATTGGAGCAATATTCTAACTGCCAGAAATGGGGTGGCCTTTGTTCCGTAGGTTACTGTTGTCAAATGGTATGGTACTACTGCTCCCTTTTTGTCTATCCATAAAATTCTCTGAAGGTCCCAGTCATCCTTGTGGATTTTGATCTGTTGGTACATTTTTGTGATGTCGGTGGAGAACAGATGCCTTTGTCTTCTAATCCAAATTAAAACGTCTGATATGTCGGCATTAAAATTAGGTCTAGTGTGCATGTCATTAAGTAACGGGCCTGATGTCGTTTGCTGGAGCCATTGAATACCACTCTTAATTTGGTTGTTTTGCTCTCTGGTTTAAAAACACTGTGATGTAGCAGATAATATTGAAGCTCGTGATTTGACGTTGAAGGAGCCCTTATCATGTGACCAAGATCTATGTATTCCTTCATGTATTGTTGATATAACTCTCGATACTTCTGGTTTCTTGGAAAATTTCTTAACAAGCTTTGTAGACAGTAGCTCGCTGTTTTGAACGAATTACCAAGACGATTAGCAGATGAGCTACGCGGAATTCGCACTGTATACATCCTAGAGGTATCACGGGAGTATGCATTCTTGTACTGGTCCTCGCACTGCTGTTCGTCTGGTGTGTATTTCTTGACTTCGCTTGGTTGGGGTTCTTAATGGACTAAAAATTTTAGCAGTAAATAATGTACTGCGGTTTCGTCATCCTACGTCGTTGCTTGGTAGGCTGTCGAATCAACAATCTTCGTGGAGTCGACGGATCCTAGCACTAACCATCCAGAAACGGATATATGTACCAATGGCATCGATGGCGAAGGGATTATAACATGGGGCTTCATTACATGTCCGTACATGCTTGCTCCAAAAATGATATCTACTAAAAGTGGTGTAAGATACTGCGGATCGGCCAGCGTTAACCCCTTCAAATAAGGCCAATCTGGTGAAGTTATTTTGAATGAAGGAGTAATTAAAGTCAATTTCTTGAGGATGTGTTGAGTGGATAGTAAGTGGCCATAATCCTTGCGTTGTTGTTGACTTAGCTCCCCCAATTCCATGAATTTTGACGATGGAATGTTGTTTAGGAATATTGAATTGGTTGACAAGGTATTCAGTGATGAAGGAGAGTTCAGAACCAGAATACTTAGTGCTAACAGAATGCTTAGTGGCTTTTTCTGAACGTATTTCAGCCATAGCAGTTGCAAGTAGTGATATTGAATGAAATGGTGGTTCGACTATTACGTCCTCGAGTCATTTTGCTCGTGTTTCTGACGTACTAGCTAAAGGGTGGTCTCCAGTTTTTTCCTCATGTAGTGATGTATGATGTTCTTTGGAGCATTTCGTGCATGTCGTGAAGGTTTTACAGGGTGTGAGCGTTCAGGCATAAGTGGCACAGTCCTAGTTTTCTTACCAAATTGAGTTTTTCTGATGTTGAGTATCCCCGAAATTTAAATCATCGTAATGTGATGTCTTTTGGAACAGCACTTGCAGTTAGTTGATTGCGCTGATCCTGTGGATTGGTTTGACAGTGAATTCTTTATTGATACCTGGTAAGAATTTGATATTCTTTTCGTTGACTTGGCTCGCAATTGTGTGGGTTTGGGAAAACATTGTGTGGTGGCTCTATGTGGTTTTGTTTCTGCATCAAGCTCATTCAACGTCCTCGCTAGAAAAGTTAGGAACTCGTCCAATTTCATGAATGTTGGGTATTGATTGGAAGAGCTAATAGATGACTCCCATAGTTCTTTTGTAGCACGATCAAGTCGACGAGAGGCAACATACACCAATAAGTAGTTCCACAGCTCTTCGCTAGTCTCCATAGTTTGCAATCGTTTGACTGCTTCTTCAAAGTTATTAGTTAACTTTTCTAGTTCTTCCTTTTCTCCTTTAATTATTGAGAAGTCGGAAAATACCTGGTTGGAATATGATTGAATTATTACCCGTTTATTGTCATACCGAGCTATTATTAATTTCCAGGTTGTCATCACTGCGTCGCCTGTTAGTGGAAAGGTGTGGATCAACTGGGCTGCTGGACCATGCACTGCGGTGCGGAGGTGATGCATTTTTTCTACAGCGCTGCTTTCAGTGTTGTCCAGGACTAGTGCTTTGAAGAGGTCACGAAATGCCTGCCACTCCTCCTGAATCCTGAGAAGTGGGGAACACTGATGGATGGTAGTCGAATTACGCTAGGATGAGCCTTGGATTTGGAAGTCTCTTTCTCGCCCGCTGTTGTTTTTCAGGGTTGGCGACGTTTGACTATGTTCATCCGAATTATCCTGTGTTGTACAAATTCCTCCTCGTACGCATCTTTGTCAAAGTATTCGTGGTTGTCGTGGTCTATAGGCCATGTTGCCAATAAATATGCGTGATCCTTTTGAAACGTCTTAGGTTGATCTTCGGTGTATGGCAATACTTCTGAGATTTCATGCGATGTTATGTTTCTTTTGGATGCCTCAAATTCTTCAGCTATTTGCTTCATGCGTACTATCTGGGTCCATTGCATGGAGATCTTTTTCTTCTCTTCACAGGTTAAGTTTGTGGGCGAAGCACTCCTGAGTGTTGTTCTCTTAGTGTTTTTTGGGGTTTTGTCGACTCTTCTTTCTTTAATATTTTCCATGTTACTATCATATGTATTGTATTATGCTGCACAGAAGTGGGAGGTCGCGAATCTCCTCATACTTCCTGTTCCTGTACTCTTGACGGTAAGTTGTTACACGCAGAAATAGGAGGATGCAGGGCTCCCGCTGCTTATTAATGTAATACCTCGTCGTGTAAAAATGCAGTGATAAAATTGTACTCAATATGAAATTCTCACGGTTGCACGGCACTATTGAGATAGACTAACTTCCACTATATCTGGGTAGTCGATGATGAATTATTCAGTGTTTCGGCTGTCCGGCTCGTCCCATTAAATCTGTTATCTGATGCTGCGATTCTCCAGATATCCGGCTCGCAGGATCAAATGTTCGAAATTAGTGGTGTATTCTTGGCTCGCACTGCCAATGCTTTAATAGCTTAATTTGCCGCCCGCCCTAGCAGATGCCCGGGAAAGAGATATACAAAGGTCGTGATAGTTAATTATACACTTATTATACAATTTATTACACAATTACATATTAGGAGATGGTCAGGCCCTCTCCTGAATGAAGCGATAGCATCAACTCCCGTCGACGGTTGTATACTAAGGTTGATGTATCTTCTTCCGGTCAGTGGGTCACCGCAAATACTTGGTCACTACTTTACCAATGTGTACTAATGCGTAAAGTTCCCCGCAGACCTGGCTTCTCTACGCGGATAGCCCTTTCGAATTGACTTTTCCATAGAGACAGCAGCCCTCTGCTGTTTGTCCTCACCTTTAAGGCCTCTTGCCATGATTCCCCGCTCAAGAAACTTCTGGTCTTAGTTTTCCAATCAGCGCGCGCCACTTTTCAGCGGTATGATGACGGTGCAAGCCCCTTTCCCACTTCCGAGGAAATTAAGCTTAGATAATGAGAATGTCGGAAGAGTATATCTGGCGGCAACTCCTGATATGGAAGATTGTCCCTCTCCGGGACTCATCGTGGTCGGGCTGATTCTTGGTCAAGCGTCTTCGCTTGGCCGATGCAAGCGGCAATATTTGCCGTACTTGACAATAATGCATGCTAGTCTGGTGACATTAAAGGCACATGTGCGGCGCAGATTATCGGACGTCGTACATGCCGGGTTTCGGGTTGCAATGAATTTTAAGCCTCCAAATATACTCGAGTAAACAGTCTCGCCGGGTTTTGATGGTAAGTCGCAAGAGTCGTTTATTGCATTCAAAACAATTACTACGTCTGTAGTACGAAGAGCAATAAAGTGGCTGTTTACGAGTAAGTTCCAGATGTACTAACCTTTTTCGAGCCTCCAGCAACCTTGGCAAGATTTTCACAAATTTTATATCCGTTCGAGAATTCTTTTTATGATAGCCGTTGAAATTTTCCTAATGAATACAATTCGAGAGATTTCTTTTCACTCACGAACAATAACTATAAAATTTTTATGTATGAAACTGAGTTAATTTATTAGAAAGTACCTTGATGAATTTCAGGACTTCATATAGTATGCTGTTGATGTTTTTGTTGACAATAAATCAATAGAAAAATATTATACTTTTAGATTTTTTAACTCTTGAACGCGAAATTGGTTATAATTCAAGTACGATGACGGTTGTTTTGGTGGTATCCTAATATTAACTTTCTGGTATTAATTATCATAATAATTTCACATTGTACGTATGCTAATTATATCAATAACATTCAAATCTAATTAATAAATTAATGAATCAACTAAATATTAAAAATGAAGATTATTAACTATTATTCTTTCAATGGTTTGTTTTCATCTAGAATACTTTGAATTCTACTTTATCTAAGAGGAGAAAGTGGGGAGAAAATTGATTCAAGATAAAATAATGATATTTGACTCTTGATTTTTCATAATATAATAATAGTATTCTTCTTATAAATTATGATAAAAATATTGACTACTCTATTTTTATGATTAAATTTTAAACTTTAAAATCTGTATAATCTTTAATCCATTATCATTTAACAATTACGGTGCTCCTTGAGTCAAATTATCTTAGGTACGATCAAGGATTTGGTTTACAATTTACAAAAACAGTTTTCGGGGATTCAACGATTACTTTCAATAAAACATGGATAATTTTAAATCCATTAATTAAAAATAAATTAAGATACACATTGAAACTGCACAAAAACAAATTTGTTTGCGTTTGTAATTGTTTATTTATGTATTTAATTTTTCGTTAACTCGTACTTATATGTTAGTTAAATCATTAAATAATTCTTTAATTTAATTTTAAGATATGCTGAAGATAAATCGATATGTTTATACTTTGAAATATGTGCAAACAACTTTTACAAGTTTTTAATTTTTAAAATTCTATAAAATTTATAGAAAATCTTTAAAACACACGTACATGTTTCATCTTGAATAAGTGATTACAGAAGATAGAACTAAACGGATTTTCTATGAGAATCCCAAAGCCTAATTGAAAGAACAGATCTTCCATATTGGTTGATGTAATTCTAACACCAGTATTGTATTTTAAGTCAGTCATAGAAAAATTATAAGAATGTAGATCTAATAAAAAATAAAAAAAATTGTTGTATGAATTTTAGTAAATATTTGGTTGAGCATACTTAAAAACTTGAGTTTTAATTAGAATCAATGTTTCTGAAAAACAACGATTTTAAATATTAATGATTTTTAATAACAGTAAATTGTCTTTTAATGAAATTGTTAATGTATTCTGAATTGTAAATATTTAATGTAATTTAAATGTAATTGTTTTCCTAAAATAAAAATAAAAGTATTATGTATTTCTTAAAATTTCTAAGTACATACTTAGAAAGAGAGATAATAATAGATAATATAATGTCTAATTAATAGATAGTATATATTAATAGATAGTAAAACTAATATAATAGATAATATAATAGGTAATATAATAAATCTCACTTAGTGTTCCACTTATTAACATTATGAAGGTATAAAATTTATTTTCAAAGTCATTGGTATCAGTATTAATTTGCTGAAATCTTTGAGTGCGAAAAATAAATGTAACTAATATCAAACTTATTTTATTAGCAACTCCATGCTTCTAGAAATATAATATCCATAATTGTCATCTGTAAGTCTACAAACCCATTAATCCATCTATTTTATCTTGTGGTATATAGTTTTTATATAGTTTAATATGTCATCTGTTTTTATTATAATTTGTATATTAATTTGTAATATTATTCAATTTCTACAATGTAAACAATAACAGCAATTTTATATACTTAAATAGATATTACACGGTTTTGGTTTTATAGCTACCTAAACTATCTAATTTGATTATATTTCAATAAATTCTGAAAGCAACTTTTATTAATAAATACAAATATTCCAATTTTGGACTCTTTATTAAAATAAAAATTAAAAATTAAATTTTTCTTTAATATTATATTAATTTTATACCTACATTAAATTTGTTTTATATAATGATGAAAATTAGAGCAAGGATAAATTTAGAAAGCATTTTTACATAATAAGTATTTATAATATCTTAAAAAAATAAAATATAATATTTTAAATTTACTGATACAAGTAAAATTTAAAAAATTCTATCTTAAATAATCTACAATTTTTGTTAACTATAAAAATAAAAAACTATTAATTATGTTAATTCATATATAAAATTGCATCAATAAATTACACATAATTAATAAATAATAAACTATCGTATATTTATCAGTCTTTAATTATCAGTGACAGTATATGTACTTTCTTTTATTAACTATGAAAAATGTGTATCTAATAATAATAGAAAAATTAGACAAAAATTTATATATTTTAATTCAATATTTAAAAGGAATCTATAAATTATAATGATTTCAAAGAATTAAATATGATAAATAATTCTATCTATCAGATTTCTAGTTCAATTACATTATAAATTATATTTTTAATTACTTTAAGTTATTAAAATGTTAGACGAAATTTAATCTTGTTTCTTTTTCTTATATTATTAACGAGTTTCGTTCATATTATTAATAATAATACTATAAACAAGATTTTTTACATAAATATATAAATTACAATATATATTAATAAACATTCCTTATATAATTTCAATTAATAATACAGTATTAAGATTTTTATCATTCATTTTTCTTAAAAATGATATTTATTAAAAATTATTTTATTTTAATTCATATATTTACTTATTATAAATGTGTTCATAGATATATATGTATTTATACAAAATATACCATAAATGCTGGTACTTAAAAATTGTAAACTTTACATTTAAAACATAAACAAATTTATTAATCTTGTAAGTTAAAAAATCAATATTAAAATTAATTTAAGTTTAGATTTTAATTAAACTATATTATATAATTGAATAAAAAATAAATAAATATAAAATTTTATGAAATTGTTGAATTAGAAGACATATTTTTGTTTATAACATTATTATATAAAATATTTTAAATTATAAATTTCATTAATTTTTACAATTACTTTTTTTATATAAGGTATGAATATAATATAGTAAATTACAAATCCATTTAAGTGAAAAATTTTATTCAATTTGAATTTAAAAAAATGATATTTGCTTACCTTTGATAATAAAATTTCGGGATGAATCTTTGATTCAAAAAAATTTGTTTCACAAAATCGTAAGGAACATTTTAAACAACATCCAATGTTTTTTAAAATTGTTAGAATTTCATAATTTAAAGAACTAATAGAAAAATCGTTCATTTTTACTAACTAATTTTTAGTTATTTATTTTTCTTATTATATTAAATATTAAATTTGGTATTTGTAGTCTTATTTTATTAAATGAATTTAATATAAGTAAATATTGCATTAATTCCAGAAGGATAAATATGAATATTTATACGCTTAACGTTCAAATGTAGGAAACATAGATTGTGTGATTATTGAGACATGCGTAAGAAATGTCTAAAATTATAGCTCAATATTTAAAGTAAATTTGTAATTGACTTTATACGAGATATTAAAAAAAAAGATTAAATGTATAGTAATATATAATTTTTCTAGGAACATATGCTTTTATTTTGGAGTGTTATTTATATTTAAATTGCTATAAAAATAACCGGTATATAAAAGAATAAATAAGGTAACTTTCCTATTCCGCAAACTATTATTTGAATGACAGTTTCAACTTATTAGTTTTGAATAATGTATATAACCTATATGTATTAATAAAATTATTTTTACACAATTGAAGTAATTAATTTTTTTTGTTTTGACATATTTTATTCAATTTCAAATTAATAAGAATTTAATTAAAACTTAAGAAAATTAACTCAGTTTACTTTATTCGTTTCAATTTATTGGGAATAAATTGTAAAATTCTAGAAAGTAATTTAAATTATATTTTAGTTTATATATTTTTTTTTAATATAAATTTGAATTTTCTTAATAACAGAACGTAATAATTACATTCTAAATCACAATTCTATCAATTTAATTTTATTCAATTTTTTTACCATATTGTATTTTCTTCAATTTCAAGAAAATAGAATTTATCATCTTGTATTATATTGTAAATATTATACTGCTTTTAATATTAAATATAATTTTTATTAATTATTTATAAGTTGTATAATTTGTATAATATATCTCAAACTTATAAATATATGTACATGGTAATATTTCTAGTATAATTTATATTTAAAAAAATTGTATATTCAAATATTTTATCGTAGATAGTTTACTAAATGCAATTTAATTTTTATAATTTTGCTGTTTTTTCTAATATGATCTAATATGATACAAGATAGTTGTATATTTAATTTATAATTTATAATTTAACAAATCGCATATCTAGTTTGCAATACATTTTTTTGCTACTAAACTTAATATATATTTTTTTATTTTAAATATTAAATACTAAAGACTATATTTCTTTACTTTACTGTTACCAATTATAAACTTAAGCTTCACTTAAATTAAGATTGGGGTACAATTAGAATTGTCAAAACCTATAAATACTAAAATAAATAATTAAAATTGTGATTTTTATGAGTAGTAAATTAAAAATTTGCTGTGAAAAGATTTTGAAACAAGATACAAGTTTCTATGAATTGGTATTTAAAATATAGTTTCTTAATATACTATTATCACAATATTATTCAATAGTTGTTGCTAACTAGTTACTAACTTTCATATAAATTTTGGATATAATTTTTATTTTGACTCAAAAAGACTCTTTGATTACAAAATTCCATTGAAAGCAGATAATTGCATATATGATTATTGTAAAATATAGTTTAAATAATAATGTAATGCATATAAATATGTGTGAAACAATTACTAAGGTTTTGAGTAAATATTAAAATTCCAAGAGTCTTTCACTGCTAGATCAATGTTCTTATATATAATTTTGCAGAAGTTTTTTCAAATGTCTAATATTAACATCATCAATATTTACATTACTACAAATGGCAATTTTAATTATTTTGATGGTGACCACTGTCATAATTTTATTTGCATTTTATATTTTATATAAATATATTTGCATTCCTCATTTAATGAATTCTAAATAGATAGTACAATATTACTTGTTTATTTATTATTATATTTCTTAAAATATATTAATTCATTTTTTGTTACATAAAATTATAGTAAATAAAATAAAAAAGAAGACTTTCAACACTTCTATATATTAATTTTATTTGATTAGAATTTTTAAAATATTCTGGTATTAATTTTATTTAAAGAATTTTGATACGTATGCCACTTCTCAATTAAATTCTCTATCTTGAATTCTCAAAAGGCATCACTGTGAACAGAAATATTTTGTATGATTTAATAATTATACAATTAATTAATTTACTGATAATATATTTATTTAAAGGATATTCCAAAACTTTAAAATACAATTTATATCATTTCATATTTTGCTGTATTGTAAATTCAAATGTATATTTGATAAAAATGTTACAATTAATGAATCTTTGACTTATTTTACTTATTTAACACTATCTTTTTAACCAATCTTTTTTATTTTTACACCACATTAATAATAATATAATTAAACTATTATTTACATCCTAATTTTCTTCTATTAGTATTCAAAATATTGTGTAGCTTACAACAGAGAAAAAAAATGTCATAATCTTAAATATATATAAATATATAAGAAATTTTATATATTCGTTTTATAAAATGAAGCAATTTAATATTTTTTATAAATTTGTGTTCTCATTATTACTAACATAAAGAAGATAATTCAAATAATTAAACAAAAAATTTATAAAAGTCTTATAAGAAATTTATTCCAACAAGGAAAGGAAACTAAATGAGGTTGAATTAATAACATTTTTACTAAACAATCTGATTATTAAACTCTTAAAAATTGATCTTAATTTAATATTCTAGCTTAAAAGAACTTAAAAATGTCTGAAATATCAAGATACAATAAATTTATATTTTATAACTTTTAATTAACTATAACTTGGAGCTTAATCATAACAGAGAAACAATCAATCATATTTAGAAACGATACCTTATAAATTAAAGAGCAGAAAGAATAGTCGACTACTCCATCGTTTGTATATTGTAGTGTTTCCAATAATTTTTATTATTGAATATTTAATAAATTTTACTTATTATTTAAAGAAATGTTTAATGTAATGTAAAATATTGTTAATTATAAACTGTAGAACTAATGCTAGAATGTATCAATGGTTTAAATGGTGTAGTATTTCTAATAATTTTTTCTAAATTATTTGCATAAATGTCAGTAGTAAGTTCAGAAATCGGAACTTCTTTATCTGATTTTGCACTTTTTATAGCATCATCTACTTCTTTCCGAATATCATTCTCCATTTTCTGAAACATGAAATTATAAATATATATTGAATTAAATTGTTTATATTAAAGTGATAATTAAAAAAAAGGGTAACGCTATATAGAATACTACTTATCTTAAAATTTTTACTAATAGAAGCAAAAATTGATTGCAAAAAACTAATTTATTTTTAAATTATAATTTTATAATCATATAAGTAAATTTTTGTTTTAATAATTTAATCATTAATAATTTCAAAATAGTATAAAGTACATCAAATTTAGTTATATTGCTTATGAACCAACGTGCAGCCTGTTAAATTTTATAATTTTCACAATGTATAGATTATTTTAAAAAATTTCCTCTAACTAAGTATATCAATCATATTTTGGTCAGTCAAATTTTTTAAACCATGGATTTAAAATTTTTATATTTAATATTATAATTTACGTTTTAGTTAATTTTTCTTAATAGATTGGGTCTCTTATTCCTTCTTTACTGAACATTATTTTTAATAATGAACATACATTTAAAGGTATGAGAACCAATCTTTTCATATAGATAATAATTAAATATTTATAAATTTAATAGAGACCATTAGGTTGAAAAAATTTGAGATTGTGGAATTAATAAGCAACAGAATTCATTTGAAACCGCTTAAATATATGAGTATTAATAATTATTACGTACCATAGATAATTTTTAAGAATTTTAGAAATACAAATAATAATAGATAAATTTTAAAAGTAACCAAAGATGGAAATAATGTGTTGGAATAGATATTATTAATCATATTATCATTATTAGCATATCAATTACTTTGAAAAATGTAATCTTTGGTAAACTTTAAATGTGTGCAAATTTTGTTATCTGATTAAATAAGAACATTGTTTGAAAAAAAACTTGATTACTTAAAAAATACCTAAAATAGTCAATCAGCACATTAAATAATTATGTCAAATTTTAAGTTTATAAGATAAGACTTAACCTCCTTTTTACAATGTTGGGATTTAATTAAGTTTTGAATTAAATGTTACAAAATATTGATTAGTTAATTATTATGTGAAAATTAATCAAATTACTAATAATTAAACAAGTTTAATTGTTGATATTTAATATTAAAATAATAACTTATACTGTAACTGTTTAATAGATATTTAAATTGTTTTACTTTCTTTTAATGAACTTTTTCTACAATTAACATACGTACTTTTAGTTCATCGTTTGTAACCAAATTAGCATGTAATATTCTTTCTTTAAAACTTGTTAATGGATCTCTAGTTTGTCGAACTTCTTGAATTTCTTCTCGTGTTCGATAGCTTGTGCCAGGGTCAGACATACTATGTCCACTATATCTATAAGTAAAAGTCTCCATTACTAAAGGTCCTTTTCCAGATGTACAGTAATTTATAGCGAATTTTGTTGCTTCTCTAACTGCTAAAATATCCATTCCATCAACCTAATTATAAATATAATTTAAATTAACATTCAGATTAATATCAAATAAATTATAAGTATAAAGCTCATGTTATTGTACTAAATATTTTTGTAATATAATTCTTAATTAATGTTTCATTACATAAAACAATATATTTTATAAAATTTAGACATATTCATAATGCATATGTAAATAAATGAAAATACTTCATAAAAATAAGTTAGCAATTAAACATTGTGTTATATAATTGCAATTTAGAAATAAATAAAATATATCTCTATATGCATCATTCACAATCATTTTTGATTTTTTTTTTAGGTTATTATTTGCATATTTTGAAATTTGTATTTGGATTTTCATATTAAGATTGCATGAGTGACTGATTTTATGAAAAATATATTTTTAACAATGAAAAATGAATAAACATTTTTATATTAAAGTTAACTAAATATATTATATAAATTAGTATTTTATATCATTATTTTAGCACGATAATAATTGACTCAAATATTTGTTTAGTGGTAGGTAAAAAGTTAAAAAGTTAAAAAATGAGAAGGTCAATTATGTCTTTTTTATACAAAATTTTAACGAAGTTTGTAATTTTTTAATTCATAACTAGTATATTTTGAAGCTTTAGTTTATTATAATATTTTGAATAGATATTTAAAAAAATTATAATCCATATACACATTTGTATATATTTATATAGATTTTTGAAAACTACTATAAAAAATTCTATAAATAAAAATATTACAATATTACAAAAAGATATTAAATTCAAATTTTTTTTATATAGATACAAAATTTTATATATAAAATAAATAATAATTTTATATAATAATATATAAGCATTTATACCTATAAAAATTGGAAGTAACATAAATAAACTCGGAAAATGCAAAACCAGATTAAAATGTCAAGTATCACAGATGTTTAAAATTAATAAAATTTTTGTGAAATTTTATTTATAAATAATGAATATTTTAATAATGTTGTTAGAATAAAATATTACATTTATGTTAGCCAATTAATCCTTCATTTTCTAGTAAATAAATGGGTCAGAATTTATTTTAATCTATTACAGAGTTACAAATAAGTTTTTTAAAAGATTAAAATCTATATAAGCTTAAGTTGTGTTAAAAGAATTAGTTATTTTATGAAAAATTATAAATAAAGGGGTAGAAAGTAAATAAAAAAAAAATTCATATTTGAGGATAAATTCATGTTGAAACAATCATGCAGTAGAAATTCAGATATTGTTATATGTAAAGATAGAGAGATATTTTAAGTTTTTGATTATCAACTCAGAAAATGAAAAATCAAAATAATTTAAAGTATTTTGTAGTTAAAAATTTACCCAAATTCCAGGAATAAAGTCTCCTCGTGTGTAATATTCTGTATTTGCTGAAGCTCGATCTACGCTAGTACCCATTCCATATCCATTATTTTCACATATAAATATACAAGGTACATTCCATAATTTGGTCATATTATAAGTTTCAAATATTTGACCTTGATTCGCAGCACCATCTCCATACAGAGCAAGACATACTCCACCATTATTTTGATATTTATGAGCAAATGCAATTCCTGCACCTAATGGTACCTAAGTAAAATTATTATATAATTAAAATAACTCAATGTTCTCATATACATTATAAAAAATCATTTTTATCTCAAATTTCCTATAAAATTAATATTTCTTTTGGCACGTCAGTATCCAATTGGAAATAAGCAAAAAATATATTAAAATTTAAATAAACAATAAATCCAATATCAATGACATTTTTAATTGAAAATTATAACGAAGAAAAAACTTTGATCAAATCGTGATGTTTTTTTATATTTATAGTTGATTTGAAAAAATATTTTTATTCAATTTATATTCTTCTTTCTTTCCTTTTTTGAAATTTTCATTAGCGTATTGAATAAAGTAAATTTGTTCCTTCGATTGTATACATTTATAAAAATTGTATTATATCGATTTATTTAATCGTTATTAAATTTTTTTTTATTTCCGTAATTTTTCTTGAATATATTGTTCAGATATTTTTTGAAAATAATTATGTGACTTTTTTTGTTCACTCTATTTTAGTTACGTAGCTTAGTCTACTTAGTATTACTATAGTCTACTTAGTTTAGCCTACTTAGTATTACTATAGTCTACTTAGTTTAGTCTACTTAGTATTACTATAGTCTACTTAGTATACTCTTACTTAGTATTAGTCTATTTTAGTTATTTAGTTACTCAACTCGTAGAACGAAATTACACATTTTCTCTTTCAAAATCATGCTTTTAGATCCTATTTCTTTTAAACATCATCAACTTGTTTACTTGTATCGCAATACATTCACTCAATAGTTTAAATAGAAATGAGATGAATTTTTATTTCTTCTTGGTAGTAGGCGTAATTATTTTCTTTTTAAATTTCGTATTTTTCTATTTTACAAGTATTTCATAAATGTAAATTCAATTATGTCCAAAATATTTTCTTTATATTTAAGAGGATTCTTATAATTAATACATATATAAAGTTATTTACATATATAAAATTCATATAAAGTACTATTTTACATTGATTTATTACATATTAAAATTGGTTTAAAAATAAACCACTTTAATCTTATTTATAATACGGTATGTATTATTGTTTTGTGAATTTGCGACTTGCACTCTGTAGTTGTATATTAGTCTTTAATATGGATATTATTTAAAAGTAATATAGATAACGTAAACAGTACAATGCATAATATATCTTCTAAAAGTACCTGAATTATATCTTGCTATCAGTAAATAAAAAATTGAGTAATACTGTGTAATATTTTATACTAATTAAATAATTGTTCTTTTTATCTCATTAATTGCTTTATTGATTCCAGTTATAATTTTTATAACATTACTAATTACATAACTTAAACATTTCCAAAAATTACAATTATTAATTTTTTGTTCAATATTTGATATTTTTTTTATTTATTTGTTATATGATGTAACATGTAGAATTTTACATACCTGGGCTCCTACAATTCCATTACCTCCATAAAAATTTTTTGCATACATATGCATAGAACCACCTTTTCCACGAGCATTACCACTTTGACGTCCTGTTAATTCTGCAAGAACGCCAAGTGGTGAAACCCCCATTAAATAAGTCCAGCCATGAGCTCTATAAGCAGTAATAACAGAGTCTTGAGGACGAAGAGCAGCTACTAAACCAACTGCACAAGCTTCCTATAAATATAGTGTTTGAAAGATTTTGGTTGAAATAATAAAAATATATAAAACAAGTAAAATAATACTTAAATTTTAGTAAATGTTAGAAAATGATTTTATGTAGATTATTTTATACCAATATATTAAACATTTGATCAAATCTTTCCTTTTCATTTATATTACAAATGATAAGCTATAGTTACATGTACTTATAAGACTGCTATACATAATCTACAAAAATATGTTATATATCTAAAAAAATATGAAATATATTTACATCCTCAAAAAAGTAAATATATTAACAGGGTTATTCAAGCTAATAAGTTAAACATTATTTATAAACGTTATTGTTTTGAGAAATCTAGGTAAATGTTTATATCTATAATAAACAATCAACAAAGTCAGGTAAATTTAAAGCAGTATTATATTTGTAAGAAAACTATTTGATATTTTCATTTAAGAAGCAAGTATGATTAGATTGTGGAATTCTATTCAGACGATAAATATTTTCTAGGATTTATCAATTTTTTTATTTATTGAATAGAATAAATATATCTAAAATGTAAAACATTATATAAGTATTGAAGACTACACAATAATCTTTTAATACTTTAACGGTGTTCTTGCCTGATAATAGTATAAAATTTCAAACTTTCAAATTCTCTCTATTAGAAAAGAATTATATATTTGAGGATATTCCTAATAACACTCATATTAAACTTATAGAAAAGACGTATTGTAAAATGAAGATAATTATATTAGTTTTTATAAAAAGCTACAAAATACATAAAATACTTATTTAGATAAAATCTTGTTTCTATATAAAGAAGTTAGTTTTATTATTTTAAATATGGGAATGTATCTCGTTATATTAGTTTTTTTTCACAAAATAAATAATACTGCAATCAATTGAACAGCAGAAAAATTGATTATTTAAGCTGCAAAAGAATAAATGAAGATAATCATTAAAACGTTCTATAGGCTCAAAAAAAACTAAACGATTGACCAAGACACATAAAGCCAAGTTATGATGAAAAAAAAGTTTCTTTCTAAATACAACTTATTCCAAGTAAATGGAAGTGAAAACATATACAATTACTAAATAGTTAAAATATTTAATGTGACGACACATCTCTACCTCAAAAACTCTAGCTTTGTCGAAATATAAATATTTTGAAAATGATAAAGCAACTGGGAGGAATTATACAGAAAATTACACAGGGCTTACGTGATTGTCAGGTGTTAAACCTCCTCACCTTGATTAATAATGCTTTAGGTTCATGTATTTTTGCCTAAAATAGTTGACTTTCTGATACATTCTTTTATCACTATAAATTAATTCACATAATATTAGTTTCGATTACTTGAATTATATTCATTTTTAGAATGAAATATTATATTGCAAGAAATTATCAAATTATGTAATGATTTTACTAAAATGATATCCTTAGAAAGAAAATTTTCGACAACGAAAAATGTTTTTTATTAAGAATTCAACATTAGATACGATCACTATTACCTAAGAAGCTATAATACCTTTCCAAAGAATAAAGTTTCATTGGTTTCATTTGAGATTTTTGTCCACTTAAAGATTTTTGTTGCCTTACAGACATTCAGTAAGTTTTCCACTAATATAAAAGATAATTGTAGGATCAATTGTATAATAAAAGTAATTAAAATATGATATTTTTCTTTTTCAAGAATTTTTGATATTTGGTTGCTAATATTTCAAATTTTCTACTTTTCATAGATATAGAACACGTTTTAGGATGGCGTGTTTTGCGATAAAGATATTATAATTCAGATTCTATTGCTGAGTTTAAACCTTATAAACAAACTTTACTTTTTTAATATCTAATATATAATAAAAAGTATAAAAATTTTTGCAATATTTAATAAAATGGAGATATAATCATTATCAAATTATTGAAAAGGGGAATGTATAAATAAAAGATAATAATTAGTATTTCTATTAAAAAAAATTATTTGAAGCGTTCCTGCTAATATTTTTTACACTAGCTGCATATAATTTGTTAAATACTCACCTGTCCAGAGTATAGGTGACAAAATCCTCTAACAAATTTTTCTTTATATAAATTTCCTGCGGCAGTCTCCATTCGACGAATAGTGTGTAATTGTTTGTAGTATTTAAGTGCATCTGCTTTGGATAGTTTCACTTCTGTTAAGGGACCATTTTCGAGTTTATGAAGTCGGAAAGGTTTAGTTTTAAAAGTAGCTTCCGTAACATAATTTTTCCAAGTACTTTTGTATACATTTATCTAAAATTAATAAAAAGTATAAATGTTCTAAATTATCAAATATTAAAATTATGTATTATTAGTTTAATATATCAAGAATCATTAAAATCACATGGAACTATTAAGCCTACATGTTAATTTATTTTATCTTAACAATAATATTTTTTTATTCACATTTAATATTATAATTATTAAAAATGAGTGTAATTGCCTAAATTTTATTCAATCATTTTTGGGTACTAAATTTTTAATTTATCTAAATTCGATAATTAATAACATTGAAATTAATATGCAATTACATTCTCCTTTAGCTAATTTGTACACGCACTTTTTCTGTTATAATTAACGTATTTCTTTTGCTATAACTTTTACGATAGTTGATTTTATTGTTATTCTATTTTTATATTTATAAATGAATAAAATTAACATTGTTTTACAAATTCTAAACATATGTTTCATTTAGACAATTAATCATTTTCGATTATTTATTATTGCTTTGTATAACAAATCTTAATCAATAACTACTTAATTTTTTAGTTTTATTCAACTAAAAAATAAATATAAATACACATTATAAAAATATAATGTACACCATTTTAAAATGTTTTAAATGAAAATTAAAATTATTACTAATTTCGTAATAATTCAGATATTAATAAGCACATTCATATACCATAAAATATTATTTCTCTTTTAAGTAGTTCTGAATTTTATGATTAAAAGAAATGGTTAAATGATAAAATCAAAATATAAAAATAAAAATAATAACACTTTGATAAATTGTTCAATAAATCTATTGGTTTTATATGTAGTTTTTCACTTATCAAACATTTATATATAATATATATTAATATATATTGCTGAAATTATACTTAGCTACTTATGTAATTAAAAATTAGTTAAATATTATTTATTTTATTATACAGAGTTGCAGAAAATTATTATATATTATAATGATTAATATAAGAATTACGACAATTTTTCTTTGTCATAAAAAAATACAGAATATCAGTTATGAAACTATGGCTGAATTAATAGCTGATTTAAATCACTGTTATCTAATTAATTCGTAATAATAAAATTTAATTTTAATATATTTTATATATTATAATTTTAAAATCACTGTGACATTCTATTTCCTATTTAATATAATTATGAATATTCTTGATACCACAGTAATCTGTCTATATTAATCTGGTCAAAATTATTCAAACATTTACCCATTCAAGATTGTATAAATTTAATACATCAAAATATTTCAAAAAAACTATTTTTGTAGTAAATATAGAAAATATAAATTGAAATTTACTATTATATTGTTCATTCAATAATACATAAAAATTTAGAATTTAGATATTTAAATTCAGATAATTTCTTAAATCCAAAGTTTTTATTAAATTTAAGGTACTAATTTATTAAATAATTATTTCAACTGTTATATAATATTATAAACGATATATCATTATTTTTATATTGGGTATTCAATAATTTTTTCATTAAATTATATTTAATTCTAAACAATTATATACAACAATTTTATAGGTTGAAATTAAGAATATTTTAAAATAATAAATACTATTAATAATTTTTTATGAAACAATAGATATTCTATTAAATATATATATATATATATGCAATTTTAAGGAATTTTAAACATGAATTAAATTTTTTTTTTATATATAAGAAATTAAAATGAAAAGTCTTAACTCTTTTATAAATATGACTATTCATTATTATAACATAAAATATCAAATCAAGTTAAAATATTATTTAAATGATTTCAAACAGAATAAAAATATATTTAGTAAAAAGACAAATTAATTTAATTGATTAACAATTGAAAAAAATAATTTGTTTTTCAATATTTCTATAAATTTATAAATATAACATAGTTTAGTGGATAATAACATTATCAATGAATTAAATATATTTAGTGATCAAATTGAATATATTTAAAAGAATCTTGAATAAACACAACTTACATTTTTATGAGAATTTGTTTTTAAAGTTAATGTTAGTAATTTGAAGAACATAATTTTTTCTTGTTTTTAAGTCTTTTTAAGCAATACACAACTTCATAACAAATATAATTAAATATAAATTGAAACTGATATTAATTTATTTCGACAAATTATTACAGTATAATGTTAAACATTAAAAGTCAAATTCAATAATGATAAATTATATCAGGTTAACCACATATCCAACATGAAACGTAGATAGTCTACCCATATAATGCATATACAATAAAGCCTTGAGTTTGGCTGTTATATGTTCAGAAAGAAATCTGGTATATATGCATATAGTAATCTTTATTAATACTGTTCAATCCCGTTATTTCTTTTAAATTCTTTATTATCAAAGCATTTGATATTTACATCATCTAGTATCTTATGCAAGTCAAAATTATAATTAGTGAAAGTAAAGAATTTAAATTATGAAATATTTAATTAATAGCTGGATGGTGATATATTTCTACTAAAAAAATAAAAGAATTACTTCTTTAAAGTCCGAATATGCGATCATGAGTGAGGGTTACAAGTTTTTCAACATTTGAATTCCATCTTTAAAAGTTTTTGGAAAATATAATTAATTTTTATACTCATTTTACTTCTTTTAGAGTTGGTATTATGATTCGCATACTGCCATGTAGTACAATGTGGTAACATTTTTAATTAACTAAATAAATGAGTATCTTGTTACAATATAATAGGATCCTTTTTATTATAATATCGCATTGTATATTTTAATCAATTCCAATTATTGATAGACCTTCATCTAAAAACAAGAATAATTGAAGCGATTGATATGAACCAGTGATGGATTTTTTATTTTGAATTAAATCGTAATTACAGACAAAATAAAGCCATTGGACTAATTTTAACATTTTAGTCTAGCTAAATTAAAACTTTTTAGCTTCTAAGAATTGAAATATTATTAAAAAATTATTGGTTATTTTTTTCTTTTTTATTTTCTGTATAAAAATATAAAAGATACATTAATAAAATATCTAAATAAAAAATCGACTATTTTAAAACTAAAAAATATAAGAAAATTCTTTATTAGAAAATTTTATAAAATAATGTAAATATATCTAATTGTTAAATTATTACGTAATATCGAGATTCTTTTTTATATGAATATTTATAATATTAACCACAGATACTCATTGTCTATGGCACAAGAATCACCTAATGCTTAATAATTGTTACATTATTTTTCCTCTTGGAGATAAGGATTTTACATATTTATACAGATTAATTTATATATATATACAATTAATACAAATTTATATATATACAACAATTTATATAGAGTAATTAATTAATTTTTAAGTTGTCTCTTGTTATGTAGTAAATTTTATTTGATATATGTGCACTATTAAAATTGATAAGAAGTATTGTTCATTTCTAATATAAGTGATACTATATTGTTTAACGTGAGATTAAAAATTAATTTTTGCAATCGATGTGTAAAATCATTTTGTGATATTACTTCCTTATGTAATATGTATATTCATAATTGATGTGAATATTTCTTTTAAAATGTACAGAATTTGAAAGAAAATATAAGATAATTACGCAATAACAAATATTAGTTTGTTAGACTTAAGACTCTCATTAAGAAAAAGGACGAAGTAATACTTTTATTTTTTAAATATATGTTTATTTATATAATATAATCGCACGATCGTGATCGTAATGAATGATAATGAGTTCACTCACTACCAGTATATTAAAATGTTCATTTAGAATTTTAAACTTTGTTTCTAAGTGTACTAATTAAAAGTGGAAAGCTCTCATTTAGAGTGCTTATGAATTCAATAAATATTTATTGTAGTTTTTAATGAATGTATACTTCAATTTTTATTATTGTATAATTCAATTCATTTTCTAATAAATAAAAAACTATATTGGAAATAAGTACAAACGAATTAAAGAAATAGATAGATGCATACGCAGACGTATGAATTTAAAAATATTTCAAATGTCATTACTACGATGAAGTTTTTTATAATATATAGAATTAGGAAATACCAAAATCAAAACTAGAATGAAATAAAATTATATTTAATATAATTATTCTTATATATAATAAGTATTTATATAATTCACACTATGTATTGTTTTGTCTTTTAAAAATAAATATCAATAAAATGAATGATTATTTTTAATTATTAAAAATAATTAAAAGTTTTTAAATTTTTTATTCTAATAATTGATTAGTTTTTCAGTGTAATTACCGTGGTAAATTTAATTCAATTTAATTTCATATTAAAAATATATAATTATTATATATTGCTTATAGAATAATTTTTTATCAATATTAATCAATAACAATAATGTTAATAATGAATAAATAAATTTTATTATCTGACGTAACAATAATTATTATACTAAATATTTCAATACATTTTTCACTGTTTTTTTTATTAAAATAGTTTTTATTTTATATTCGAGTTGTTATAATACGTGAACATGCGCACAATCATTATTCCAAATCAAGTGGTAAATATTTTTGAGATTACAATTGAATATAATGTACCATTAAATGCATTTTAATTATATATGAGTACGTGCGAATACACACACGCGTATTTATTTTGATATTTAACAGAATATTAAATATTTAAGAAAATATAAATTTAAATTTATTATAAAGAAGTTCAAAATAATTCAGATAGTGAAAACTTTTAATTTGTCAAGAAATGTATGTAGAACTCATATTTATAAATAGTTTTTCATAAAAAAACATCGAATGAAGTTTGAAGATAAAATTCATATTTTTTTAGAAAAGTACATAACACAAATGCAGTTAAAAATGCATAAGTAATAATATGAATTAATTATATTTGAAAGATTGCTTAAGAAATAGAATAAAAAATTATTTTTTCTTATATTGCTTTAATATTATTTGTAATGATTGCCTTTAATATTTTGTTAGTCATTGATATTTACGTCATATACCAATAGCATGCCTTAAATAAAGTTTGTAATAATTTATTTAGTACGTGTTTATATATAAATATTCATAAAATTATAATTATTATAGTTTAATCTAATAATTTAAAAAGTTCTAATTGCAAAAAATAATATAATATTAGCAATTTAATAACAAGAAAAAATAAAATTAGTTAGTTTCATAATTATTTTAAACTTTATTCGCTAATAAAACAAAATAATAAGAATGTATAGATTTTGCCCTATTGTTATAGTTGTGTTACCAAATAATAATCTTTAATTTAATCAGTCTATTTTAGATATTGACGTGGAAATTATTTCTTTATTTATTCATCTTGCAATAGTAATATTTATACGAAAAAAATAAGTCATTTTTGATATTTAGTATAAATATATTAATATGACTGAATTGATTTCCATACCTCTTAAGAAGTCTTCTGATGTTGATGTTATAAAACCACTGCAAAACCTTATTAAATCAACGTACTCTATTACATCAAACCAAAAAGATTATATAGAAAATATTATAGAATTTAGTAAATTACGTAAAGCTGCATTATGGAAAGTATTTGAAAAATATGATAGTTCATTAGAAATAATTTACAGGTAAATCATTTTTAAAAAACTATTTATGATATGTACAAAATATTTAATAAGATTGTAATAACTCAGGTGTATTTTTGCTTTTGACAGTAGAATTTTTTTTTTATTTAATGATATAAAAATTTAAATGAAGTAAATCATTTTATAATATAAGTGATTTCTAATTGTACTATTAATAAACTGGTTTTATATTATAATGAGAAGTATTGTGGTTATTTAATCGTAGAATCAAAAGAAATTAGTAGATCAATGATTTTTTTAGATAGAGTTCTAATAAACTATACTTCTAAAATCTATAAGTAATCTCTAATATCTATAACTATAGTTCTAAAATCTATAATTTTTTTAATTACATCATTCTAAAACAATTCTGTGTAATCATTTAAATTGCATAAATATTGATCTAAACACTATTAACTTCATAGAATGTTAGGTAAATATGAGTGAGCTTTAGAATTATTCAGAGCTAAATTTCTACAAATATTTGTACCATCGGTTTATTTATCAAGAAAAGGATATATATATTTGTCAATAATAATGAAAAGGAAAAGGATATATATATTTGTCAATAATAATGAGTTTATGCATACTTCAATTAAGTCATATTAATTAATCATCTAAATTATTAATTATTTAACATTCATAATAACTGGTTTATTGATATTATAGGTTTTTTAGAACTTTTGATAGTTTTTATTTCTTCAATAAAAATTAACTATAATTTTTGTATTAATATTAATTTTGCTATATTATATGTTCTACTTACTATTAAAACATATAAGTTGATATACATAAAAATATTGAATTATCTATAAATATTTAAAGATATTTTAATATCAATTTTAGCATTTTTTATTATTTATGTTACTTTATGTTGGAGTAAAAATATTTTCAAATAGACATTTAGTTACCATATATTTTTTTAAAAATCATATCCTTGAGAATTAAATTTATTTTAACCTCACGCTAATATTTCAAAACAATGTTTAATTAGATTTAGTTAAATTAATGTTTTCCTATTTAATATTTTCCATAATATTCAGTCATTTTTATAAATACTACCGGCTTTGGACTGTTAATTAACTTAAGAATATCTTTATAATATATATTATATAATTGAATTTTATTATATAATATATATTATAAGGTAATATGTTTTTGTCTTCAATTTGAAAAGTATATATTAATATATTTATTGTTTGTGATATTTATTATTCAAAACTATATAGTAGTTTAAGTATTCAATAAAATATAATAACTATTTGTAGAATTGTTCTATATTTCTATAAAAAATATTAACGTTTTTGTATTTAAATTATTTTAGATATTACGATCAAATATGTGCTTTGGAAGGAAAAATTCCTGTTAATGAACTTCAAATTCCTTTTAGATGGAAAGATGCTTTTGACCGAACAATCTTTGGTGGAAAATCAAATTTGAGTAAGAATTTCTATAAGTTGATTATAACTGAATACTTAACAATTGTAAATATAACCATGAGTATATATATATATATTAAAATAGAATAAATTTTATTGTAAATAACTTGTAGTGGTTCATTTAATAAAATTATGATGATAAATAGTTATAAATATTTTTTATATTCTGAATAATTCAATACTTAGCAAAAATAGGGTGGCTTATAAAATCGATAACTTTCTTTATCATTAAAACATTTATGGTGTTAATTTATCTCATAAATACATGTAAATATTCATGGGTATATTTATAATTTTATATATACCAATAAAGACTTGAAATTATGTTTTATTTGTGTTTCAATGATTGAAATAAATATTGTAGTATTATGTCGCATATACAATAAGAAAAATACATACTTTTCTAAATATATTAATTCTACAATGAATACAATAAATGTGTATATTATATGTAATGATATATATATATATATATATATATATATATAATGAATATGTAGTGATTCCTATATATAGGGATTCATTTTTAGTCAATAAGCATTTAAAATAAACTACTGCTTTTCATCTAATACAATTCCATAAGTATCTCAAATTTCATATATTTATTACTCAGGTACATTTACCTATGGTCATTTATATAACATACAACTATTATTGTAGCATTGATGTAAAATTTTTAATTTTCTTTTACTTATTTTTGTATATTAATATTTCATTTTTATTATAGATTAAAGTGATTTTATTAACATAACTTTTTTATGAATTCTTCATTTTTCTACAACTTGTTAATAATCAAATTGATAATTTGAAGAAAGCTTTGTTGTTGTTTTTTTTCATAGATATATATAATTTCAAATTTCTTAATTTATTCATATATTTGGTTTATGATAGAAACGTTTATTTTAGCATTACCTTTAATAAATGTGTACTGTAGAATTAAAGAGCAAAGAAATTTTTTTTTATATTGTTTTAATATGTTCAATAATTAAGAAATGATAACATTTTGAGTATATTATTCTTTAATTTATATATATTAAATAATTGATAAATTCATAAGCGTGCAAAAGATAATACAAACTAATGGGCAGATCATTTTATCACTAGCTGTGCCATATTTATTCATTTTTATCTATATAAATAAACTTATGTATTTATGCATCTTTTTTGTTTTATTTGTGTCCTATTTATTCAGTATCATATTAAATAAGCATCATATCCTGTAATAGATGTTAATTTAAAAAATTTTTATCAAAATAAACATTTAAAAAATATTTTGTTAAACATCAATTCTAGTTTTATGCGTTCTTCTTTCTGTAGAAACATTCTAAATACAAGAATATTTTATATAGTATTAAAGTAAAATATTGAGTCATATAATCTAATGGTTACATATATTCTAGTGATAATTATGCATGGCAATTATTAAATATTTCGTATGGAATAATTTGCTATCTTATGTTTAAAAATTCAAAAAGTTTTCATTGGATATATCAATATTTGAAAAGTGTTTTTCCAATAAATTACTTATTTTTAATTTCACATAAAAATTATAATAGACATGTACTTTTATGCTTTATCTTGATAGCATTCGGTATATACTATATTAAAATAATTGTTTAAAATATATATGTAGTAGAAATATAAAATATTAATTTTTTCACAAATGATTAAGTGATATTATCTTTATATTATAAAAGTATAGCTAAAATTTTTAATAAGTCTATATTTAATTTCTATTTTAGCCATAAGTACACTTGCTTATGAAAAGATGTGTGTTCTTTACAATATTGCTGCTTTGCAAAGTTCAGTTGCAGCCACACAATCCTTAGAAACTGATGAAGGATTAAAACTTTCAGCAAAATTATTTCAAGTATAAACTTTAGTTATGAATTTATTAAGACATTAAATTGTATAATTAATTTTCAAACAAAATAAAATATTTTTTTTATTTAGCAATCTGCAGGTATTTTTAATTATTTAAAAAGTAACGTAATGTTAAATATACATCAAGAACTTACACCAGACATGAGTCCTGAAACACTTGAAGCACTTTCTGTTATTATGATAGCTCAAGCACAAGAAATTTTTACGCACAAAGCAGTACACGATAAAATGAAAGATTCAGTTATTGCTAAGTTAGCTGCTCAAACAGAAGAGTTCTATTCTGAAGCATTAAAATTATTTCAAAAAGATATTTTTCGTACTTTCTGGGATAAAGATTGGATTCCACTTGTGAGTTATTGAATTAATTTGTTTAGTAAATTTTTATATTGTTTAACTTGAATGTAACTTAATGTATACAAATTTTAAAGATATTTTTTGATATATAAATAAAAAATTATAATAGTATAAATATATCTCATGATTTTGATTAGTTTATTTAACATTTATTTTTTTTTATTATTTACATTGTTCTATTTATTATAAAGTATAAGGCTGAATACTTTAAACTAATATTTCTTTTGTTTTTGAAAAAAAACCTGAATTTTAAGTACTACATACAATTGGTAGTAATAATATATTGGATACTACCATTAGTATAAACAAAAGATCTTTTTTTAAAAAATTGTATAAATTATAGAACACATTCTTTATTCTACAATTTACAAAATACTTAAAATTTATATATATATTAATCAGATTTTTAAAGCGGTATAATCATGAATTTTTATTTTAATCATATCATAACATAAGTTTTATAAATTTGATCTAAAATGGGATTACTATATGCAATATATGTAGTTAATATATTTAATGTGATTTAAAAACAAAATATTTTATTTGCTTGAACTATTTACATAACATTCTTTTATTTAAAAATAAAAATATATCTTTATGATCATTATGATAACTCATTTTAATAAATACATTATATACATTTTACATTTGCATAAATACATTTCTTTGTTTTTTCTCAAAACAGTGAATGGAAACTAATATTTTTATATTTATCAAAATCGAATAGTGATTCAGAAATATAATGGTTAATCAATGTAATTTTTATATAACTTAAGAAATAAAAATTTACTTAATTTTAATATTAATATTAATAAATCTTCAATTTAAATTAAAAATTAAATTTTTTTCTGCTTATTATAAATTAACTATATTAAAAACATTTATTTAATGTATTTAATATTAAAAGAAAAATATTGATCATTCATTATTAAATAAAATAAGTTAATTTATATTTGTAAATATATAGTATTTTAATAAAATTTTATTTAGTCTATTTAAATATGTTTTTATTGTAAATATTATAAAACAAAGTTTAATTATATAATTTGTTTAATTAAATTTAAAGTTCATCAAAGATAATGTAAATACTTGCAATTTTAAGAAATTGTTTTTTATAATTAGTTTCAAATTTAAAGTAAGAACTTTAAATTAGTCATAGCTTGAAACTTAAATAAATTTTATATTTATGTATATTTTTTTATAGATATCTGGTAAACAACTTATATATCGAGGAATATCAGAATATTATCAATCATTGGTTTGCAAATGTAACAAATATATTGGAGAAGAAATAGCTAGATTAGAAGTAAGTTTCATGTTACTTTATTGAATTTTATTGATAATCTGATACATTTAAAATAATTATACAACAATTACTTATAAATAATTAAGCCGGTATTAAATTCCAGTTAGCGGTAGAAATGTTTAAATCAGCTCAAACAAAATCAAATAAATTATTAATGTACCAAGATTACTATAATAAGGCTATTAAGAACTTAAATGATGCTAAAAAAGATAATGATTTTATATATCATGAAAGAATTCCCGATATAAATAATCTTTCAACAATCAGCAAAGCAAGTGTAGCTAAATTGTTGCCACTTCCTGATAATTTCAGTTTAAATTTTCAAGGTAATATATAATATGTATTACAAATAACACATATAAATTTGATTAAAGTAATAATTTTAAAGATTTTAAAATATTTAATGTTCCATTTTCTAAATAAAATAATCAAAATAAGCTTTAATAAATATATATAATAAATAACATAATATTATACCTTGTATTTCATTATATTCAATAAAAAAAATTAAGTAAATGACAAAAGTAGAACTGTATAGTTTCACAGGATTTAACGGTAAAAATATATTAAAATTTATAGTATTTATTAGAATAGAAAAATTAACAAAAAAGTAAAAAATTTGTATAAAAATTTGTATAAAAAATAACGTCTAATATGTGTATCATATAGTAGACAAAAATTTTTTTTTAGTCCAACAGTTCAGTTACAGTTATTGTTTTAATAAAAATACAAATTATTTATCAATTTTAATGGTAAAATAAAAATTATATATAATTTATAAAATTTATATAACCGTCTCTTTGAATATAAAATATTTAATTTTTTAATTTAATTAACCGAAAAATAATCATTTTGCTATTTATCAAAAAATACTTTACCTAAAAAAATAGAAAATGCAAAATATGCGTATTTAATTTTGATTAATTGAGTCTGATTATTTAATTTGTAAATATTCAGAAATTTTCATAATCTTACTGTAAAGGAGGACAGATTTTTCTATATTTAGTTATTCTTTCAAATATATAGTATAATTTATTTAATATAAGTAAGGAGTATAGTATAGTTTCATAAAAGATAATGAAATTTGTTGTATATCATTAGTTTTATTATTTCTTTCCATACTCTAAACAAAAATTATATAATGGTATTTATTGAAAATTGTAAAATTTGAAATAGCAATTAACTATTGAAATTATCTTCAAATACTAACCGTTTGTTTTAAATGTTTCTATTAATAATATGTAAAAATTTTCTCACATTCATATTCGTAAATTATAGGTGGCACAAGTTCTCAATTATTTATCATTCGGATTGTTAAATAAAATTATGTTCAAAGCTTAAACCATTTATTATATAATATATTTCATAATTATAAATTTTTAGAATATTGAAAACAAATGAAGTTGTTACTAAATCACCTGTTTATCAATCTTTTTGCTCTATAATTCTCATCTAAAAAATCAACGAAACATTGATAATGTTAATTAAGAGAAAATGTTTGTTCTACATTATTTATTTTGCTATATATTGATCTGATAAATAAAATATTACCTTTATTTTTATCTGTTGAAGTTTTACATAGAATATTGAAAGCTTAATTTCTTCTGTTAAATGAAAAAATTTTTAATTTCTCAAATTTAATATTTATATACTTAGGTATTTATATTTATTCATTTTATTAAAATAATTAGAGTACAGTTATAATATAGTAAAATACATTCAGACAATTAATTATAAAAATGAATATAATTATAACATGTTTTAGTTTGAAGTAGTTTCTTTATTGCCAAAAATTTGTAACAACCAATTTTTATTAATTGATTGTTTTATTTTAAAATAAAGGAGCTTCAAATAGATTATATATAGAATATAAAGGAATTACAATTTGTAATAGGACCTCTAATAAATTTATTAGTTTTTATTTCAATGCATTTTTATATTGTATTCATTTTACCGAGTTTATTATTTGTATTGTATTTATTTTAATTATGTATATTAATTATCAAAGAGAATCATGTATGAAAATGTTAGTCGATGTGCGTTGCTACATCAATATTAGACAGTTGAAATATAAATATCTATAGTTCAATTTTATCTGTGAAAAGTACGTAAAATTACGTTTATTACATTGAAATTAAAAAAAAGTGTATAATTAATATTATTAAATTGAAAAAAGTATGTGTATTTTGAAAAATCAAACATAGTGATTTATGTATACACAAATATTGTAAAACAGTAACATACAATTAGATGAAAATAATATTTCTTTTAAAGAAAAATGCGAAATATTGCTAAATATATAAGATGCTAATTTTGAATATACTTACCATACCAATAATTAGATTAAATCAATGTATTAAAAAATTCGCCTATTAAATGCAATAGTCATATCGTATAAGAAAGGGATTAATACCTAATAAATAATAACGTAAATTAAAAAGGCACTGGGTTACTAAAGAAGAAATGAATTAATCATAATAAAATCTAAAACATGTCTTTTAAGCTGATACCTCAATGGAATGGATAACTTTCAAAACAATACAGTTAAAACATGAATAGCTGCATCTGTTTTGTCACTATGGCAAAACATTGTTTTAATATTGATTATGTGATTAATAAAAATAAAAGAAAAAAATGTAAGGATTAAAATTAATATTTCCGAATAGGCTACTTAGATCTTTGGTTAAGGCAAAAAATTTCTTATTTCAATGACTTATATAGACACTAATTTAGACATTTCATATTAAGTACATAAATTTTAATTATACATTTAATTTTTACCATAATCTATAATTCTATACTTAAAGTTACACTTTGATACTGTTCAAATATTATAATTAAATATTAATCGATTAATTTTCAGATATTTTTGCTGAATTATTACCAATTTGTATTCATCAAGCAATATCAAATTTCGAAGCACAGAAAAATGAAATAATAATATGTGAAATTGCAAAATTGCGAAATATGAGACAAATTTTAAATGGGTGAGTATAAATGCAAAACTATTTTGATTTTTATTATAGTACTAAAACAATTATAAATAACAATAAATACGAAATTCATTTACTGCAACATCTATGTTTTTAAAATTGTGAATGTTTATTAAGACCTAATATTAATTTAACATTAAAGTATGCAGTATTTATAAAGTAAAATACAGGCGAATATAGCTTTGACTGAATTATATACAACAAATAAAAGTACATATTATTAAAAATTGCTTTAACACAAATAGTGATGAATTTACTTTATTGTATATCTTGAAATTGAAATCTACAGAAAAGAATACCTTATTTAAAATGAATACTATTCATCGATCTCATATCCCTGACATTAAATTACTCCTTTTGTATCATTATAGTATTCCTTATAATCTTTTGATGAATCAATATATAAATATATAAGTATATTTTATTTCACTACTTATATTAACCATGTCTAATATTTCTGTTTAACTACATTAACTATATATAAAATATAGTTATTTTATGCTATAAAATAATAAATCTATTTTAATTGTGGAATAACACATTATGTTATAAATGATTTTATAAATAAATAGTAACATTTTTACATTGAATCGTCCTAATTTTAATTATGATACAAATATAAATAGTAAATTCACTAATGCATTTAAATCATATTTTTATTAATTCAATTTTTAGTACTCTAGCAAGTTTAAATTTACCAGCTGCAATTGAAGATATTAATGGAACAGAAATTCCACAATCATTAATTGACAAAGCCAACTTCATTAATGAAGCTGGCGGAATTAAATCTTTAGAAAGTACAATGAATGAACTTCCTGAACTTCTTCAAAGAAATAAAGATATTCTAGACGAGGTAATTTTTATTTGTATTTAATTTTAAAAATTACAATATTATATAAATAAAAAGAATAATAAGAAATTATAAACAAACTCAAATGATAGTAAAAAATTAATTACTTAACAGTAGATTATTAAAATAAATAATTGCCTAAAAACAGTTTATAATGAAATTTTATATTATATTTATTAATGAAAAATTCAGAATAAATATTATTTTGTATTAAATTTCCAACAATGGCTAATAACATTTACTAATAAAATATACGTTTTTAGAGATACATTTCCACTCAGATGTAAAACTGATTAATAAATAATTGTAGAAATGGTAAACTTCGTATAAAGAAAATAGTATTTATACAGCAAAGCTAGATGTAACATTCAGATAATATTAAAATAAAACTATTTAAAAATAATATAAAATTTAATTTTCTAATATTATTTTATAATATTAATAAAATATTTCATATATTTAAGATATACTTATTTGTTGATTTACGTACAAGTGTAATTGCTTATAATTCAACATTAAAATTAATACAAAGCACGTAGATTCATTGACTTTATAAGCGCAATATATCGATACTTCACCCAAAACCTAAAGGAGCTATTCTGTTTCAATAACTTTCCACTTAATTTTTGTTTGATTAATTCTTTATACATGATTTTTATTGTTAATAATGTATAGGTATCATACATTAAGATTTTTATTTTTAAAAATAATAAATCATGGTATTTCAATGTTCATATTTTCATATTTTTACTCATCAAGTCTTCTGAAAGTCATTCTTATAAGTTCAGCATAAAAAATCATTAGGTTAAAAATATTCAAAAATATTGTAAAAATAATCAATAAATAATAATTCTGTATAATCCCAATATATTGTGACATATTTCAAAGTTTACCATTTCTATCTTATATATTCAAGTTAAATTTTTAATAAATCAACATTAATACATCAGATTCATTTGAGAGCAAATAAAATATTTAGACTTTCAGGAATTCTAAAATATTAAAATTATTTTTGTAGGAATGTAATACAAAGACTGCTTCAATTTACTTAAATAATATAGTTTAACGTTAGCGTGCTTTTTTATTTGCAAAATTTATTATATAAAAATAATTTTATTTTATTTTATTGTATAAAAATTAGTTACACTAAAAATTTAATTTATTTCGAAATTTTTAATTTTTTTTTAGAATATTTTAATACAACTTTTTTAAAAAAATATATTTGATTATTTTAGGCAGATAGAATGTTGAACGATGAACAAAATTCAGATGATAATTTACGTATTCAATTTAAGGATCGTTGGAAAAGGGTACCGAGTGGAAAACTGACAGATCATTTCAAAACTAATGCTCAGAAGTATCGAGGAATTATAAATAATGCCATTAGTGCAGATAAGGTACAATATATTTTTAATTGTAGTGAGTTCATTTGACATTATTGCAGTAAGGTATTATATAGGCCATTATGATTCATTATTAAGCAAAAAATTGCTTTCGCTATATTTTGCGGTTTGCTTTACTACCTTATATAGTATAATGAATCAAAAATATGAAAAAGATATAATTAATTTTATAATTTCATTATGGATTAAACTTAAATAGAAAAGTGCTCATAACATTTATAACTTAAACCATGTAAGTGTATTACTAAAAGAGTACATTTAAGTAAATATAACATCGAATTTTTATAACTGTAACCGAATATTAATATATCAATATGTTTCATGTATATATGTACAAAAGTTACCATAATTCAGAATGAAAGTGAAATGTAGACTGATTCAAAATTTCCTGAGGCTTAATGAACGATTTCGAAGAACATATACTTATTCTCTAATGATTTGTAATATTATCGGAAGAGTTTTACGTGCTAATTGTAGGTTTAAAGAATAGAAACCAATAAATACTGTATTAGAAAAATAGGCATATCTTAATCACTGCCACAATAATGAACCGACAACTGATACAATTGATCATTTTATCCTTAGAACTCTATATTGTTTTAGTATATTCCAGTTTCTAATTAATATCTTTGTTCGGAAAATAATCCCACAATTTGACTAGTCAGCCAAACGTGCAATAATTAACGTAGAACAATAAAACCCACTAGATGTTATGTGGGGTTGCCGGGCAAGTAAAGGGTAAATGCACTGACTAATAATTAACACATGTCTTTATTATTTCTATTTATTTGAATTGATTTACAAAAGGGTGAATTACAGACGAACTTTATATTTCTTGATAATCTTGTGGTGTTGAAATATATTTACTATGAATGAAGCAGGTTATAATCTATTGAATATTATCGCTAAGAGGTTATCATGATTGTAGTGCTCTGATCGAACACTGGAATGCCATAGTGTTTATCTTAACACGTGTGTAGTTGCCTTTAAATATCGGTCGTAAGAGAGCCGAGATGGAGGTTATGCGAAGCTGTGCGCCATCTGTGGCGGGAACAACTTGCAGTTGGAGGGATTGAGAAGCCAATGTGGCGTTTATAGCTGGTCTTGTTCAAGAGTATGTCCGGGAAGCTTCCGTAGTTGGACTTTATCCGTCCGTCTTCTACATAAGCCGAGAAATCAAGAATGAGTACTAGCTGTAAGGACTTACTTGCAGTGTATCGTGATTTTCCAGTCTCTCTTCGATGGCTTGTTATTACGTTCCCTTGCAATGTTGCAACCCTTCAGTTCTTCCTTGTCTCCAAGTGAGACCACAAGTGGTCAGGTCCCACGCAATCCAGTCTTGATGAGATCAATTCAACTGTACACTAATTCACAATAGTGGAAAGAACTTATTATTAAAACTCAGCTAGCTAAACGACTCATCTCTCCGGTCCTCCTCCGTGAGAGTTGGTCGTGACTTATCCTTCACTGTAAGAAGTATTTGGAAAGAGTAAGTGAGGGTACATTACGTAGTCCCTTCTTAAAATGATTCACTGATCCCGCTCCACTTGGGATCCCTTCTTCCTTTATTAATTAACCAATCAGTGGTTGATCTTGGGTCGCACAATAGATTATGCACGCCTTCATTTCCACTTCCTTCCGGGCTCAGTTCCGAATTTGCTAATTGGGAAAGTGTCGGAAGGTGGCGAGCCTTTTCCATTGGTCACCTCTCTTTGGTTGCCTCATCCCTCTCTGGGACTTGGCTAGAAGAAGGGTCCGCTTGGGCGTGGTCAATTTTCCAATACGATCGACCAGATGTGGCATAGCCAAGAACAATGCAAGCATTGTCTTAAAGGCCGAGTGCGCACGTATGGTCATTGCATGTGTAGTACGTATGGGTTTTCGGTTGCAGTAAATATTTGTACTCAATGCTTCACGCATATCTGATATTCGTTCTGAATCTACTTTGGGGTTCTCGCGGCAGTGAACCCATTAGGTTCTACTGCACTGGGAGTATGAGCACGTTCCGCTAGGGTTTTCCAGATGTTTTATGACACTAGTACAAATAATTATGAGCAGGAAAGTTTTGAAGTCTTAAATACAATTTTCATGACATTACTTGTCAGATATTTTATTGCCTTATTAAACGGAGTCTCTTATTCTCAAACAATCTTCAACACACATATTGTTTCGATATATATTGAAAGCAATAGCAACTGAAAAAATTTCTTTCTTTTCTACAGTTGAATTATACAAAAGCTTTTCAAAACAAAAATATTCAATCCAACTCTATATTCAGAACAAATTTATTTCTGACAGATTTAGATTTTTTAGTAAAACCAACATTATCTCAAATATTAGTCTGTATGTTACCAAAATCTGATACTATGAATTGAAAATTTTTTGCCTAGTAAAATTATATTTATGACCTAATCAGGAAAAGTAATAATAGTTATAATATAAAAAAGATCCATAATGCGAATCAAAATCAGCAAATTTGTAGATTCATTGTTACTGCGTTACTTAATAAGGTACAACTTATTTAAAAAAAATTACTCCAGTAGTATTTTGATAAAAAGTCAAGACATTGAAAAATACAGATAGCATATTTCGCAAATGCAAATCAAAGAAATTGAATATTATTTAAATAAGAGAATCATTATTTATAATACAATTCCACTATCAGAACATCTTCATGATATATTTTGGAAAGAATTAAGAATGCATTCATTTCAGAAGTTTGATTCTCAACAAGAACTATACAGATTATATTATTAAATTTGAAGAAATACTGAGTTAATTAATATCAATCAAACACGTAATTTTTAGCAGTATAAATTTTTCTACCTGTGAACACAGAACTCCGAACAATAATGGATAGAGAATCAATAATTTATTACATACGATGCGATTGTACATTTACAATTAATTTTAAAAAAGCAGAAGATTTTAAAGTATAATGTGCTGTGTAAGAACAAAATAAAGATAGCAATTGTATATAGTACTTGCAATTTCAGTCTTAACTGTAAATACTATTATGTGTATATATATATATATATATATACATACATATATACGATGGTTTGTAAAATTTCCCAATACTGCAAATAAATGATAATATATTAATCCATGTAATGAACTTCAAATTTTGATATAATTGAACACAAAAGCTTAATAGTTTTTATTGAAATGGAGTTCTGTTAGCAAATAAGCTTAGTTCTTTACTATTCCTTGAATTAAAGTGCACCTCTTTACGTTAAGCTACAAAAAAATTGAGCTATCAGGCGCAAATCATTTCAAACCAAATATATGAATAATACATTATTTAGCTCAAAGTGTATGTCGAAAAGGAATAATTGTGTAAATTCAAAAGAAGAAAACGAGATTAATCCAATCGACTTTAATCAAGTAGAGTCAATAATGTGAGTACTTAACTACCGAAAGAGCTGTCTTAATGCAACTTAATAATATATTATAATTATAAATGATAACGTTGACATAGGTTTTTTTTATATTATTCAAATTAGTTTTTTTACTTACTGCTATCTATTTTAAGATTTTAAGATTTAAGATAAAAGTTACTTTATAATAATCTCAAAATAAGAAATATTTGTAATATACGTTATATTATTATATATTATATATTATAATATAGTTAATATACGTTAATACGTTAATACACACTGTGTTAATAGTTTAATATTTATTCACAATACAAAAGCGTAACTATGAATATGCAATATGTACATCTACTAGTATTATCATTTTAACGAATTTGTAGGTGTAATCATAAAATACGCCAATATACCATACCAAAATTTGTTATTTCCCAATATAACAAGTTTCCCAATCTACACTACCTTTTTTCTAATATTTTTTATGTGTTCCTTTATTTATTAAATAAATTAAATAAATACAACTAACAAATAAAATGCTTGTACATTTTTTAGAATCAGACTGTTTGATTTATAATATTTATATTTGTATATGATTTATTTTTATTATCACTTTCAAAAATGTAGACCCCTTAAATAACAATATTAATTCAATTAATATCCTGATAGTATTTTAATAGCTATATTCTCCAACACTAATCTTGAAAACGATTACTAGAAGAGAAAATAAGTGTGTATTGTATAGTATGTATGTGCAGAATATTCATATAGATAAATGTTTACAAATTCGAAAGCATGCATTGCAATATAAGTTTTTAAATTTTCGTAACAATAAATAAATAATTCGTCTGTAATTCACCCTTTTGTAAATCAATTCAAATAAATAGAAATAATAAAGACATGTGTTAATTATTAATCAGTGCATTCATCCTTTACTTGCCCGGCAACCCCACATAACATCTAGTGGGTTTTATTGTTCTACGTTAATTATTGCACGTTTGGCTGACTAGTCAAATTGTGGGATTATTTTCCGAACAAAGATATTAATTAGAAACTGGAATATACTAAAACAATATAGAGTTCTAAGGATAAAATGATCAATTGTATCAGTTGTCGGTTCATTATTGTGGCAGTGATTAAGATATGCCTATTTTTCTAATACAGTATTTATTGTATGAAAATTTGAGTAAATTTTGTATAATTTATGGTAACCATAAGATGTTTTTAATTAAAAGTATTTCTGCAGTTAATGTAATGACATTAACAAATATTTTGTCGAGAGTATAAAATTGTATAATTGTAAACATAACAATTTTATTAGGTATTTTGTCAAAGAATAATAGAATTTTATGAATAAATCAATCATTGATATTATTAAAATAGTATATTTGTATAGATCTGAATTACAAACATATATGAAACTTAAAAAATTAATAATTTGACGATTCTGAAATATATATTTTTAATGATATATTCTAATATTTAAGAGATTGTTTAATAATTAATAATAGTAAAACACTAAATCGAACAAATTTTGAATTATAAAATAAATCGAATAAATTTGTAATTGTAAAATAAAAAGTATCAATAAAACTTTATAGTAAGTTTTCATTTTTAAGAAAATTTAAACTAGATTGCAAAAACTATTTTTTAAAATAATTGGTGTAATAATATTTTATATTTTAATAATTTAATGAAAACAAATTTTTAATGTAATAAATGTCATGTATTGTTATATATTATAAACTCTATATAATATATTATATTTGAATTAAATGTTTTTCAATTTTTTAAAAATATATTAAATTAATGAAATTATTTAAAACGAAAATTACAATAATTTTATACATAACAAAATAAAAGCTTATTTAATTAATTTAACTAGTTTTTTTTTATTAATTTTATTGGTTTAGGTAATTCGAGAAAAATTTGAAATGCACCGTGAAAATGTAAATATACTAAGTATGGAACCACATATTTTAGCAAATTATATTCCAACTGGTTGTGCAATCCAAGAAAGTAGTGTTGTACTAGAATTACGTAAACTTATGGAAGTGGTAAGTGAGAAAATTAAAATAAAATTGTTTAATATTTTTATATAATTAATAGTTATTAATTAATTAGGTTGAAACTTTAAAAGTAGAACAAGACGCTGTCGAGTGTGAATTACAATCAGTTACCATCGATATACAAGGGGTATTTCTATCTGCTTTTGCAAAAGGTGGAAGTTTTAATGAAAATGATTTGATTTTAGAAAATATTGGTATACATTACAGTCCATTACAAAAAAAAGTTCGTGAGTGCATTTTACGCCAAGAGAAGCTCATTGAAAATATTCAGGTATATTAACAATTTGAAAGAATTACGTTAATAGATAATTTATTTACTAGTTAATTAATAAATAATTGACTGTTTTAATTATATATATCTTATTAATTAAATTCTTGAATGAATTAAAAGTTATTTTTATAATAAGCTATAAGATTTTTTATATTTTTATAGAAGACGTTTAATATAATATTTTGATTTCTGTACTAAAAATTTTAAGAATATAAGAAAATAATTGTATTTAACAATAATTTACATTATAATTTCTATTAGCATTTTTAATATGTTTAAAATAATTTACAAAAAACTAGTGATTTACAGTATCTTATTATTTTTATACCAATACAAAATTAACAATCATGATTAACTAAAACATAAATAGGTCAAAGTGATAAGAATTACATTTTGAATTGTAGTAAAATAATTTTTTTGTTACAACTAATATCCACATTATTATTGTTATTAACATAATAAATGAAACAAAATTGTAATTTTAATTTATTCTTTATTTTTTATATAATGGAATATATAATAATGGAAATATTGTATTCAAGTATAAACACATGGCATTTGCAAAAGAACAATCATCTTGCGGAAGCACACGTGAACAAATGCTTCGTAAGCTTGCCAATGCTTATGATGCATATAAGGAATTAATAAATAATTTACAAGAAGGTGTAAAATTTTATAATGATTTAACACAGGTATGTATATATTTCAAAAATATATAAAAAACATTTTTATAACATTTTTATATACTTAATGAAATGTAAAAACCGGTTCAATTTAAGCAAAATTAAACAAAAATCTGCCAAATTTTTTTTTAGTTACAGCAATTTATATAAAATATTAGTTTATCATAATTATAATTGGATATTTTATTGTCATAAACGGAGCAAAATAATATAAGCAGATTTTTAAGATTATTAAATTTTCATACTTTTGTCTCTGTTCATCTTCAAATATATTTTATCAATTTTCAATAGTTGAGTTCAATATTTGATTCTAATTAAGCAACAGTAATATTAATTTTCATACGAAATGTGATAAAGTACTAGTAATGTAAAACTACGTAGTATTAATCGAAAAATGTGTTCAAAAAGAAAATACAATTATAAGCATAAAGAATCCAAAGAATCCAAATGGTTGACTGACTAGGATAACAAAATCATTGCACAAACACTTGTACATAATTCTAAATTTTATATTGTATGACACTACCAAAAACACCACAAATGCATACATACACACACACACACATATATATATATATATATATATATATATATATATATGCAAATAAATATAGTACATTATTGTACCATACTGATTTGATCAGAAATTCAATATTCATTTCCTTTGCTTATAAAACCATTTATGATAACAAAATTAAGTGTTCATTTAAATAAATTTATAATTAAAAATATATTAATTTTATTTTTATAAAATTTGAAGGAATAATCCTTTTCCCATAAAATATTAAGTAAATAATAATTTTAAATTTTAATAATAAAATTATTGCTAATATTATGAACTTAAAATTGTATTTAAAAGGCATTTATTTGCTAACGAAAAGATTAAAAATCATTGTTTAGAGATAATTAAAAAAAAGTATTCAAGACATTCTTAAATAATAACATAGGAAATAAAGTGATATAATATAAATTAAATTTTATATGTGAAATAAATAAATAATAATATTCTTTTCAACCATAACATAGAATAGCTCCAATCATATAGTAAAATTTAATAGATGGAAGTTAAAAAATATTCATATTTAAGTTATTATTAAATTAAGTATTTAAATTTTGAAATGAAATATCTTTTTTACTCATAGAAGAGAAATATACATTATTTTAATGTATAATTTTTGTGCATCAAACAATGCCAATGCTCAAGGATGCAGTAAAAAGTATTCAAATAAAAAACGGACAAGAAAATAGATAGAATTTGTTAGTAATATTATTATTAGAACTAAAATCTTATATAAAAAACGTTAAAGAATAAATGTACACTTTTTATTTTTATATTCTCTATTGAAAATTAAAATTTTGAAATAAATTTTGTTTCATTAAATTTGTTATTTTTGTATTTTAATATATTTCATTAAAATAATATGTATTTTTGGTTTTTATAATATAATTTTTGCTGATTCTTTTTTCTTTTCTTTTTTATCAAATATTTTTCAACTTTTTACAATTTAAAAATAGTGTATCAATAATATTCATAATGAAATACGCTAGAAAATATTTAATATTTTCAAATTTGATTATTATATAATAATAAATTATATACTTCATCCATTTCTTTAAATATTTATACTTATATTTCAGTTGCTGGTTTATTTTCAAAATAAAGTTTCTGATTTTTGTTTTGCCCGTAAAACAGAAAAAGAAGAATTATTAAAGGATTTAACAACAAATCTAAGTCAAAATGAATCGTCAGGTTCTTTAAATCTTCCATCCCATCATCCAGGTATAAATTCTTGTAATAAATATTTTTACTATTTATAATATATTATATAATTTTCATTTTATTATACTTCAAAAGATATAATTTTGTTATTACAATTTTTTATTCTATAACTTATGATTATGTAATTTTCACATTTTCTAATTGTTTTTTATACTTAGTATCTTCTAAATTTTTTCTTAAAATGAGATTATATTAATTTGAAAAATATATTACTGCGATAATATGTAACCTTATAACGTATCTACCTAAAATGTATAACAATAATTTATAATGATTCAATTATTATTTGTTGGTATACTAAAAATTTATTTAATATAGAATTTAACTTATTTAAAATTATTATTTTTGCTTATCAACGTAAATATATTTATTAAAAAGTAATTATTTAATAAATAAAATAAAATAAATAAATTAATACTTTTAAGAGTCTAAAAATATTACCTATCAATAAATAAATATGATGTTAACAATTCACAAATATCCTTTGTGAAAAACATAAATGTTTTGTTGCATTCGTTTGTATAATTTAAGTTACAATTAAATTTTTTTATCTATTTATCATTATCATTACCTTTTCTTTATTTCCTATATCATGAACTTTACTTTAATACTTGACATACATAAATTTATAAAATTTGATTTTGGACAGTATTATCTTTCTATTATTAACAAACTTACTAATATTTATAATCCCTATTGTACCTATTGTTAAGGAAAACTATACATAATAAGTAGCGTTAACATTTAAGTAATAACATTTACATTTCACAGTTAAAATATTAATTTCATTATTAATATTTTTAAAAGTTATGCTTAAAATAAAAATCACTTTTTTTTAGGTATTTCATCGACGCAAACAAATTTACATACATCTCATTTACCATATCCAGTTCAAGATCAAGGGCATATGCCAATTCCATATGAAGGAACACAAGTAACTCTATATCCAAATTACATTTCACCTCCCATGCCAGCAACTTTTAATCCTTACGCCACAATAATATATCCTACACAAGGTAATTATTTAATTAACATAATTAACGTATGCATATGTCATTTTTTATTATAAATTATCTTTAAACATTTTACTTAAAATAAAATTGCATTTCAAATTGTTTAATTTTATTTATATTATGCATTTCAGTAGACTAATATTTAGATACATTTATTGTTCATAAAAAGTAGAATAAAGATAAAATCCTATTTCATCTCTATATATTACTATAGAGTATTTATTAAATGAAAGTTTATATTTAGTATATAAAAGTTATATTTGTTACACAAATATGTATAATGTTATAGAAATATAATTTACAAATTTAATATAGCATACGTTTAATATAAATAATATCAATTTAATATAAATACATATAAATCTCTATGTGTGAACGGGCAGCTATCAAAAAATCACTTATATTTTTTAAATAATTATATTCATCAAGTTTTAAATTATATTGTCTAAACAGACAGGAATAAAATGGTATAAAATTCTTCAGTTTTTTCCCTGTTACTATTAGTAGTATAGTCTGTAGTATATTACTATATAATTATATATGTTTTTCTTTATTTGTTCATATATTGCACTTATCGAAGAATATCTTTTAATATTATAATTAATTCTTTTTAAATTTTGAACTACTAAATAATGTTTATGTAAAATATTTAATTACTTCAAATGCACTTCGTAATTTATATTATTTGTTTTTTTTATTTTTTTGTGAATTTAAATAGTTTATTAGCATTTGAGAAAAAAATCTCGATAATTAACAAAATATATTTATAGTAATGTATGCGTAATTGAGCATTTACGGTATTTTATCTGATATTTATAATTTAAAAAGTACATGAAGATTCTGATATGTGTTGATATCCCATACATTCAAATAAAAGAATATGTTTATAAATTCTGGAATACTATTATATAAATTTTACATATCAGGTTTATTATAAAATTTCAAGAAAGATTAGCATAGAAAAGTTGCTCTTTTATTACATAATGAATATATGAATATTCAAGGTGATTATAATTATAGCAATTAGTAAAATAATATTTTTGCCAATTTATAATTTATTAATTTTTAATTTCAAAATACTATTTGATAATAAATTAAATATTTGTTTAAGATTGACTATGCAAATATGTACATGAAAAACAAACAAGGTAGTTATTTCGAAATATAAAATAATTCACTCAACGATTTTTTCAAATATGCTATTAATATGCAGTTTAAAAAATGAACATTAAATATAAATTTATCTTATAATATGCATTTCCTATAACATTTTTGTAATTTTCAATTTAATTAATTTTTACCTATCTATTATAAGTTTTAGTTTTGACAATTTAATAATTTTTAATTATTTTTTCAGATGGATATCTACAACAACCATTACATCAAACTCCTTATGAAAAGTACTCCACTCATTCACAACAAAATCTTTCAAATGATGGAAATTTATGAAAAATTCTTTATAAAAGAATGATTTTACAAAATATAAAATAGCTATATTTAACAAAATAATTTTATATATAGTATTTCGCTTTTATGTTAAAATTATAGTACTCGCAGCATAATATAATATAATACTTTACGTAACAAGTATTGTGAAAATACAATTTCGATATATCCATTATTTTTATAATGATTTATTTAATGATATAAAAATGTTCATATTTTTATTTTAAATTGTTTTTCTAATTGAATTTATATACGTTAGTATAATTATCCATACAATTCAATAAATTTTATATTTAAAGGTATATCATATAAATAATTGTCATAATTATTTTAATTATATAGATAATTAATATTTTTAATAATCAAATAGTATACTCACTTTACTGTGTATGAAGGTGTACAGGATATGTAAGTTTGTTATTATATATTTACCGTAACAAGGCCGAAGAGTACTAAAGAAATAAAAATGGTAATAGCTTTTAGCATGATGGTTACTATCTCAATGCATTCGCAACTATAGTAATACCTATCTCTATTATCTCATTGAATTATCTAATGATATTCGATACATAGTTTAACATAATACGCATAAAAACTACGAATAATAATAAAATAATTTGTATATGGCTAAAATCATAAGAGCCATTTTTAAAGAAAATAATTAGTTGTATACTATTCAAGCATGTCCATGCTAAAAATGTAATTAAAAATATCGGAATTTCAATTTAAGTAAAGGAAATATCATACATATTAAACGTTGAAGTAATGATATGATGGTACATTATATTTTATATTCATACATTTCCCTAAATTTATACTCATATTTATATGTATATAATGTTTACTGAAGATAAAATTTGTAAAAGTTAATTTAATGAATAGAATTCATTAAATACTCTTAAGAATTTAAATTGAAAGACAACTTTTTGCAAGTAGAGTCATATATATTACCATTTATAAATTATACAAAAGTCGTACTATAAAATAAGTTATCCTAATATTACATTAGATTTAATTAAAACATCAGATTGATAGATTCATATCGTTGATTATAAGTATAAATTTAGGTAAATATTTCGATCAATTATTAATATATAAACTTAATATAATTCTTTTTTTTCTAATTTTTATTAATAGTTTTATTTTCAATCTATTTTTGATTTACATTACAATTGTTAATATATTTTTTATTGTCCATGTGGAATCAACCATGTAGAAGCTTCATGTACTTTTCTAAGTTTTATATTAATTTTAATATTTCAGCATGACTATGTACTTTTTTAAAAGTAAAATTTATTTTCTTTGATCTTTCTTTTATTTATAGAAAATAAACTGGCCCTCTTATCAATAAACTTATGTAAATAAAATATATTTATGTCCACTTATAATGATGTCATATATAATAGCCTACATTTCTTGTTAATTTTATAGTTGTACTTTTTTACATAATTTTCTAATTTTTCTGTTGATATTTTTAAACGAATATTTTTAAAGAATTAAATTTATACGTAACCAGTGATTATTATGATAAAGTTGTATATAAAATGCCATGAATTTAAAAAAATTACGATACAGAACCGTATCAATAAACTAGTAATTCTCCGTTACATGTTTCAAGTCATCAATATTGTAGAAATATATAGAATAGACAATATGCTAATCCATTCTATTTGGATACTTTTCTTCTGTAAATAATTTTTCTTTACTAATACAATAAAGGTTATGCCAATGTTAAAGCTCACTTAACTCAACTATAATTATTCAACAACAATAATTTTTATGTATACATTGCTCGATGAATTAATGGTTAAATTTGCTTGACTATTATTTTTTTAACAATTACAAAAATTTGTAATCAATATAATTTTTTTACTTTAACCATCTTTGTAATAACTTATTGAATTCACGTATAACGCACCATCAAATTTAATTGATTATAGTGATATTCAATTCCTTGTTGTACCAGAATCCTTAACAACTTGTTAAAAATATGAAGATTAATTAATAATCGGACAGTTTATAATTTTATTAATTAAAGATTATAAAACTATCTGTATATTATTTTTCGAAATGATAGAATCACGTTTTAGTTAATTATTTCATCTTTAAGATGATGTTCCTTTACAACAAATTAGTGACTGCAGTTATTTTTTTAAAATTTCTTTCGTAATTCCTTGATAAAGTTTTACCGAGTAAAATCTAGTAACACTTGATATCGTAATATTACGAGATTTACAATTATTTTAAAGTTAAAATTATGATAATAAGCGTTACAGATAAATAAGAAGAAATAAATCTCTGTTTTATTCTATTTGTATATAAATGAAGTTTTGATACTAACGATTCGATTCAACATCCCCTATTTTAATTTGCAGATAATGAGTGTAATTAAATAACGATACGCTTAAATAAGTATTCGACAATATAATGCAAAATAAATGAACACCTGATTTTTATTAATGTTCATAATTTATTTATAGTCTATTATATATAAATACTTTATATTTGATATTATGCTAAACTACTAAACTAAAACACTTGTTTAAACATTTGAAAATTTACATGAAACCCAAATATATTGATCTGAGTGTTTCGAAATACTTTGCTTTATTTTTGTATATATGTCTTGATAAGTTTGACCTTCAATTATACCTAGAAAAATGATGCTACATTAAAATATTATTAATTTTATGGTAATATATTTAAATCTTAATTACATTATATTATATAAAATTATAAATCAAATAATATAGTTATAATAAAATACACAATCATTTTTATAAATTTCTTATTAGATTTTATTTATAAAAAAATTTAAAAAATAGTATTTCAATTGGTTGGTTTAAACTTAATCATATTTTATATATTCTAATAGGTCTGCTATTTTTTTTACTACATATATCCCTTCATTTGTTAAATTTCCGCGAAATCGTAATCTACAATACTAAGTCTTTAAATACAATATTTGTAGCTTTTATTTGTAGCTTTATTATTGTTTATTGACAGAAACATCAGAGCAAGATAGATTTAAATATTGTACTTGATAATAAGAAAGAATAATTCGTGATTGAAGTTGTAATTCGAGATGAGAGGGTAGTAAATATATAAATATTAAGAAAAACATGAATTCCTCAATAATGTAATCTATAATGTTTACTGTAAGAATTTTGAAGATTCCCAAAGAATAGACAATGAAAATTGACATAGAATTAGAAATAAACATAAAATTTATTTACATATTCAGCTACTGTTTAAGAATATGACTTCATATACGTGAAAGAATTATATAAATTCATTTAGGGAATGGAAGTATGAGTCGTTACTTTTATATAGCGCTTTGATTTTTATTCTACACTAACAGGATTGAGAGATACAATTTGCATTATATTTGGTGCAAACTGTATACGATAGAAGTTTATTGTAGGATAAAGATACTGATAATATAGAGTAGTTTTTTTTTGTACGTAATATATAATATATAATACAATACAAACATTTTCCAATGCTACATCTATCAGCATAGCCAAATTATTTTCTCGTATCGATCATACAGTATAATAGATTAAAAATTATAATATAAACGAAATTTTATCTTTAAATTTAATATTATAATTTTTAATAATATTGCGTTATAGACCTTCTTATCGAAGCCAAAAGAAATTTTTTATAAATTTTGAAGTTAAAGATTATTTAAAACAAACTTTACACATTTTGTATAGATGAAAATTACTTATCTTTCTAAAATAATCAGATATAGTTGATCGGTATTCATAAAATTGTATACATTAATGGTGTTATTTAAACATAAAATCCTCAAACAATTTCTTAAAATAAAAAAGCATCTTAAACATGGAAATGATTGGTTTGACTTTACACTGTTTGAAAGGTAAAATGGTATAAAGAGTGAATGTGTGAAAATTAAAAATACTGAACATAATAGATTCTGTCATAATATGTTATAATATACAAATTTTTAATTCAGAAAATGAAACAAAGAAAATATTAATTATAATAATCGGATCGAAACTATATTAAACAAATTGACCGCTAAATTAAAATAAACACTAATTTATTATAATTACTAAACTTGAATGTCTTTTATATATGATTTGTAATTTTATATATATTTAGACATGTATGTGCTCGAAACTCTTTGACTTCTAGGCTCGAACTGCCAATGTTTCGATAGCTTTTATTTAACGCCCACCCTAGCGGGTGCTTGGAAAGGAGTTAAGTGAAAGGGCTGTAGAAATACAGTATGCGTGTCTTTGAAAATATGGTTTATTTACAGATACACTATCCTTTGATTGGATTTATACATTATACATTAACGAAATACACTGTATTCAATCACATCCTTGCAGTTGCTTATAACTGATCGTGTATTGAATAAGTTGTCTTCTTGAAATGCTCCTTGATATGTTGATGTTGTTGTTGATCTTGTAAGGATCAGCAACTGATTTTGTATACTCCTTATTAGTGAGTATGATTTGTGCTATTAATAATAGGGTAATGCTAGTCTTGTAAAGGCTGGCAATAATTCAATATACTCGTAAGTGTATAGGTTTGCTATGTTTATAATAGCGTCATACTAGTCTTATAAGGACTGGCAATAATTAAATATACTTATAAGAGTATGGGTTTGTCATGTTTATAATAGCCACGCGACGTCTTTATTAGCTGACAACAAAGGGCCGATCATTACACTAGAAACAATGGGCGCGACGGTGGTGCGAAGAACAATGGAAGTGATTGTGCACGTGTATCATTTCAAATGTACCGACCTTTCCGTTGGGGAATTTTCTGAGAAGTTATCACCGTTGAATAATTTCCTTGAAATGATGGACGTTGAGCTTTTCCCCAAAATTATAACATTAGAGAGATTCTCTGAATCTCGAACAGTATGTTAATGTCATTGTTAAATATATTATTCTACTATTTAAAAATTAAATAAGTTTTTACAACCGTGTAGATGTTATTATAACTTTCAACTATAATTTTTAAATTATAAATAAGTGTGTTCGGGATTGAAGCAACTTCCAAAATCATTGACTATCAGCATCGCTAGTCTCTCTAGCTCTCGAGTTTCTATAAACACTTGGGACGAGAATTTTCATATACCTGTTATATTTTGGTTTTAAATGGCCTACAATGTTTCTGGTCTTGGAGCAGTAACGTCGCTTAGAATTCTCCAAATTTCTTACGCCTTATTTTTTTCTTAGAATTCTCGAAACTTCTAGAGTTTTCTTTCTGCGCCTCATGGAAGATACCAGTGCAGCAACAACGATGCTTTGTTGCCAGCTAAGTAAGCTGCCACGTGGATATATAAAGCAAGCACGCGGCGAGCCTCACTCTCTTGCAGTGAATCTATTGCAATAAACCGACCACAGTGATCTGATCTAGCAGTGAATCCTCCAAGTCCAATACTCTAAGAAGAATTCATGGCATGGATCTTGGTCTGTCTCAGAAGGACTGCCATGGAGCGGTCGATATCTCTCAGCAGAGCCGCCACGGAACTATCAAGCCTTCAGTTTTCGTGCGCGTATTCAATAAGCTTATAAGCTTATTATGTATCAATCATACAACTACGCTACTCAGCTATTGGTTTTTGCCCTGTAACAGTCGCTCAGCAATATCACATAATGAAGAAGAAATTGCACTGCCACACGTCCTGCACAAGACTGTGAGCATGTTACTGCTAATCCTGACAACATTAGCAGAAGCCACTTTATTGTATAGGCGTGTGTGCATATATAGACTTCAAGGCCACGCAGTGTGAACATATCTCTTATCTCTGCTACTCATTACAACACTAGTAGAGGCCACGACATCGTCACCATGAAGGGAACCTCATCATTGAGGCAAGACAGAGTTTACACTCTTCTATAAGAAGTAAATCCTGCTTATTATTAATGTAACCGTTAATAAACCATATGTTAAAGAAGTTTGCACATACTACACATTTCTACAACGCTGCCACTTAACTCCCACTTAAGCATCTGCTAGAGCGGGCGGCAAAATATTAAAGCTATTGAATCATTGGCAGTTCGAGCCAGGAAATAATACCACTTTCGAACAAAGTGCATAAATATTAATTAATATTACTTTTGAATATCTTATCAATTCTTACTATTACTACTAGATATTACACATTATCATTTAAAGAATTAATTGCAACTTGGTATTATTTTTAATAAAAAAAAATGTTTTTGGTTTGAATTACCAAAAATAATAAATTATAACAAACGTAAAAACTAAAATATTTGTTATTTGAAAGTAAAATAACAAAGCCTACTGTTTCATTATCCTTTTCAAATAATATCACTATTTTGTTATTATATTTTTAAGTTATATGTTATAATATTTATTATTATCATATGGCACAATTAAATATTTAGGTAAATAAAATAATCAAATGACAAAAACATAATTGTAACAAGTACATAATTATTAGAATAAAATTATCAAATATATTCTATTATTTTTAATATTTATTTAATATTTTTATATAAAATTTACTATAATATTTTTCATTACTTTTAATAATTTCACTGGCTTTTAATTTAGACATAAAACAGAACTTAAATAATCGTTCGTCAGTGTTCGAAATTATAGTGATGTAATTCTTGGCTCGAACTGCCAATGCTTCAATAGCTTAATTTGTCGCCCGCGCTAGCAGACGCCTGGGAAAGA